TTAAGACCTGTATGTACATATATGTAGAAAGAATTAAAAAGTGCAAATGGAAAAAAGAAAATTTTCGTCGAAGAAATCGTGATAAATGATAAAAAATATTTGAAAATAAACCTTGATATTATTTTTAAAAACTTCCTAAAAGTTTTTATTTAGATATTCACAATTACCAATTCGATATCATATTTGTAACAAGAACCGTGTTTAATGCTCAAAATAGGTGTCAGTTTCGCAGATTTCTTTCCAGTAATCATTGTTTTAAATCTGGAGAACAAGAAAATGCCGCTGGGGCCAGATACGATGAATATATCGATGGCGGAAGTATTTCACAGTTCAATTCATGCAATTTTGGCATCGTTTTCATTAATTTGTGACACGGTGCATCGGTCGGTTGTGAGCTCGCCCCACTTTGCACAGAGCTTTCTCATACCCAAATTTTCATAATGAATAATAATGTATTTAAAAAGTTCATTTCATATCTTTTTAGGGCGTCAGTTATATTTGTCAATCTCATTTTATGTTCATGCTAAATCAATTTGCGGTTTTTTTGATGGTTGCTTCGTTTGGTGAGGCGCCTGGATAACACGCTTTGAAACATCTTTATGGCAGCAGCAGTTCTTTAACAGCAGCATTTTTTTTTCATAAAAAAACCTTTTCTTGCAGAATATCTATGTCTAACTATCGTACAGAAGGACTTAATTTAAGTGACGCTCTCAAATAGAAAATAATTTTTTAGCCCGTCTGGTATTGTTTTGTGGTCTCTTCACTCGCTATCTAAGCACGAATCATTTGCATTGTAATAATCCAGGTTCATGTATATTTATATACACATGTAATCCAGAATCCAAATAATATCCTGTGGACGCACATCGAGTCCGCCCCATTTATCGTGAGAACTTGCAACATGGTGTGGCAAGTAAGTTGCGCAAAATTAACATTTGAATTTGTATTTTTATTGCGCTAATTATTTATGCCTAAAAGGATTATAAACTAGTAATGGAAAGTAGCAGAGCCAATGGCTATTTGCCTTACATGGTCAATGCCAATGTTGACTGCTGGTCAACCAGAACAAATAGGATTTAAGTATCCGCACCCATAGCTACATATTTAATAAGTAAGCAAAACAGCGAATGCAACTCGAACAGCAACAACAACAAAGCGGTGGCGAGGTAACGCGCGCACAAGCAATCATGTGCTTAACCTTTTCCCAGTTTTATTGTATTTAAATTGAATGTAATCACAAACCGAATTGAGCCACTGCTAAGACGGCGGAGGAGATAAGGTGAAGCCTAGCTAAGGCACAATTAAATCGTAGGAAAAACAAGCGTTGAAAAATGAGACACAATAGAGAAGAGGTTATAAAAATAGCAATAAAATGCAATCGACGACGAAGGCGCACACACATATATATACAAGTATATATATATATCTAGAAATTACATACCTGACCTGGTGTTACAACAACACATGCAACAGCTAGAGGCACTGGTCAGCGCAATTCGAGATCTTAACGCACCATAAACAAGTCAAACCAGGATCAGGTTCCGGTCAACTTAGCGATCGAATTCAACCTTATGCATTACAATTTCTGCTGCGGCGGCTGTTTTCATGCAGAAAGGATTTTCCCAATTGAGTGCCATACACAACGGCTACGTGTGTGTTTGTGTGTGTGCGTAGGGCAATGTTTGTTTAGTAATCAAATGCGACATCGAGCGATTAGATCGCGCATAGCAAAACTGGAAAAGGTCAGCCGCACTGGACTTGATCAAACGCGAAAAGCGCGTGCACTCTTGCATACAAAGACACACACACCTTGGCATGTGCTTGCAAATGAACTCAGTTTATGTTTAGAGAACGTAAGACGATCACCGGCAAGGATATGCCACGGCATGTAAACCGTTAGCTATTGTCTTTGCCGAACGGGGTGGCAAAAAAAGGCAAGCTTACAATGTCGTTGCTTGACCAGTGGTCAATTGTAACGGCGCTTATCGTTGCCTCGTACTTATTTAGTATGCGCCTGCAGCAAACGGTTGCTCAGTTGTAAAATTGAAAAATTTAATCGCCGAGTAAATATTGTAAGCACCAGTAAAGCCGAACAATGCAAAGTAATTAACTGCCAGCAGCTACGCATTTAAGCATGGAAATGCATTTGTGTTTGTAAGCAATCATATTTTGTTGTCTGTATGTAAAGGTGATCTTGCACTTAAGTACATTAGAGCCGCTTGCGGACTCTTCAAGTGTAAAAGATACTTTTCTGAGTTCGCCGTTAGACTGAGGGGCGGCCATATTCTAGCGCTAATGCATTCATTCACGCTCAGGCCGCCTTGAGTGACCGGCGCTTTGTTAATTTGATTGCTTTGTGTGCTTGATGCGCGTCATAATACAGATGAATTATCTGAAGGGGGTTTCAAATCTTTTACGCGAAATAAATTAATACTGTGATCGATGTTAGCTTTTTGACATTTACGATCTTTTAGCGAAAATCCAAAGCATTTTTTTTATATAAAATCATTGTGTCCACTGCAAAACGGTTGATAACCGCTGCATATATCAAGTACAATATTTTTAGATCAATATCAAACCAGTTAAGATGGAGAGAAAAGACAATCTACATTACAGTTTTGGTTGCTGATCAACGCAATACTACAAGTATTACTAAGATCAATCTAAAGTCAAATTAGAAAAAAATATCTTAACAACTTTCAGAAGAACATAAAGGATTTAATAATTTTCATATCACAAGCTTTATATGAGACACTTTATTCGCGTTTGCCCTTTCTTTAAGTGTTTTAGCCAGTCTAAAGCCTCTCTTTCGGGCTTTATTCAACATTTATTTGAGCGTTTAAAAGTTTTGCATATTCCCATATGATATAAAATTGCCGAAAATTTTCAAAATAACGTTTTTCAGAGGGTCTCTCCGAGCGACGATGATTAGGAACTCATGCTATCCGAACCTCTCTCCTTCTTTAACTTCATCGCTGCGAAGTTGAACCACTGCGTCGCAGTGTCTACTCCTCGTGGCTTTTTATCTGCTCGCATACCGACAAGGGATATGTGAATGCCGCGATATCGCTGAAAAGAACTTTTTCACAGATGGGTCGAAATTCAGAGGAATAGTTGGTGGAGTTTTCTGCAAGGAGATCTCCGTCAAGCTTAGATTTAGGTTACCGGATCTTTGCAATGTGTTTTTTATGCAGAAGTTGCCTATTAAGGCAACAGAGGATGTATTGCTCCGAAGTGCAGCTTCTTTCACGGAAGTGAGCATTCACTCTGACAGCAGAGCGGCGATATTATCATTGAGTTCGCACTTATGTGCTCAAATTTAGTAAAGAGTGTCTACCTTCACTATCAGTAACATCAAGCTACTTCATTATCAGGCTCGTTTGGGTGCCTGGCCTTAGCGAAATCGCTGAAAACCACGAAGTTGATAAACGCAAAACTCGTTGCTTAGTCGGCGATGGCTAATGGCCAGCCCCTGAGCGACTGCGAGATACTTCTGACATGCGGTAAGGCTAAATATCTTAACGGGCACAAATTGTAAAAGTTGTATGAAGAAAGGTGAGATAGCAACATTCAAGCAGTTCTCCTCCTATGTCCAGCTTTTGTAGGACTGCGGTTGCAAATGTTCGCGGTCAAACTTTTGGCGAAGCAGGAGTCAAAGCCACAACTGACATTAGCGGCTCTAAGAAATTTGTGGTAGGCTCAAAGCGTTTTATCGAATATGAGAATTTTTTTATTATTATATGGTACCTAAAAAGCATAACAGACCGGCGTTAAAGGCTGTGCAATTGAGATCCCTGATAGCGATTGTAACAGGATCAGCCTAAAAAAAGTTATAATGCTAACAAAAAACGTAGTTTAAAAGATAATGTTACTGTGAAGCTGCATTTCATTTTCAAAGGGATACAAGCAATAGTCTTCGACTACTATTGTAGCCCAATTCGAAAAATAAAGTTTCGATGAAAATACGTTTAAAGTTTTACAGACTTCAGCTGACTAATACGAAACCTTGGATAACAAAAATACAATTTTTTCACTATTCAACTAATTCAATAATATTTTTGGGTTCCGCTAGCTTACATTAACCGAAAAAATCGATAATTCGAAAATCATAGACTAGCCTAACTCTTTAAAATAAATATGTGTTTCAGAAGAAAATTAAATTTGGCGTTAAACTGAATTTTCTATATTTTAACTCTTTAAAAGTGCATTTTCAATCATTTTTGCATTCATTGCATTTCAACGAATTTCATCCCATGTCACTGTCATTGTGCCAAATCGAATAAAAAGGTATGCATTTCTGTATGTATGTATTTGTGTTTGTCATTCAGCGCAAATTTACCAATTGTATTTGTTCAAGGAGGCGTTACACTATAGTGTCAGTGAGCAATTATTTCATTAGTATTCAGTGAAAATATGCACAATTAAAGACAATTTGTAAAAAAGGATAAACTAATTTTGGCTTAATCAAAAAGCTTTTTAAACTAAATTTTAGAACAAAAAATTAAAGTTTGCTTTAAAAGTGTTTATAATTTTTAAATTAAAGCCTAAAGCTATTACACAAATCAATTACAATCAGTTTTACAAATTTAGACATATGTTTACCAAGTTTTTTTGTAATTAGTTACTTTTGGTGTTATTATTTTTTTATTATTTTTATTATTTTTTCTTATTATTATTACTTTATTAGTTTTTGATTTAATTGAATTCCCATTTGCCTTTACAGGTGAATGTTTCACACCTAGATGGCGCCCAAAACACATTGAACAAAGGACATTTTGACATTTGCATCTTATTTTCGATAAGGATATGAGATATATTTTACAAATGGTCAAATTTAATATTTTTTATTAGTTTCTATATGAGTTTATAAATATCCAAGCACCACAGTTATTTAATTTTACAATTCACTTGATTTAATGAATTTATTTACAAATTCGATAGAAATTTGGTATCTTAAAACTCAGTATACATATTTTTACCACTTCTGTAATTCAGTTTTTAAACAAAAAAATTGCAATGTGGTGAAGTGCGTATTAAATATTACGACAAATTATTTAATTTATATAAGCATAAATACGCTTTACGAACGGGATATTAAACAGATGCAAGGTTTCAAAATTGTAATCTCTGATAATTCTTGTGGATATTTCTTAATACGAGTTTGTTCATGTTTTTATTTTTATAAAGCTATATATATGAAGTAAAATTATTACGAGTGCGCTGCACTGCATTTGCATATTAAGATGAGAGCAAGCCACTAATTAACATTAGCATGAATACTTCTTATACGCAAAAGTACATACGTACATATACATGTATACATATGTTTATAAACATATGCACACCGTTTGTTGCATATATACGTATGTATGTATGTAAAGTAGCGTTTGCATGAACATTATATGCAATGTCCATGTGCTCGCCGGCATTACCGTTCGTCCGTGTGTTCATACCGGTCGGTGCAGTCACTGGCATGGAATTTGAAAGAAACAAGTTTTTCCTCATCATTCGCAAATAGTTTGCAATGTTTGGATCGTTGACTGGACATTCGAGTTCATCAAATGATCAAACGTTGATCAGCGCACAAGGAGGACTTACGTGGTATTTGGTGAGGACATTGCGTTTTATAATTGTGAAAGTAATTGTTTAAGTGAAAGCATATAAAATTAATCAAGTAGTGATGAAAGTTAGGCATAAATTTATTTAAAAATAAATAAATAAAACTTTGAAGTGCCAGTTTTTTGCTCTGATTATATAGAAAAGAACAAACAAAATAGTGCAAGGAAAATGCATTTTGCGCCAGCTATCGGAAAATAGCTAATAAGCGTTTAGATTCCATGCCAATGAAACCATAATTAAATAATAAACTAATATTGTGTAATATATACATTTATAAGTAACTTCCAATTTTTAACATTTATTAAAGTTCTTTTAGTTAATTTTGTCAGTTAAACAAACATTGCGTTTTTAAACACTGAAATTGCGGAAAAGAAACATCTGTCAAAGAAACGCCTGAAAATGAAAAGTACTGCCATTCTTAAATTGCACGTCAACGGATCTACATCTTCCAAAAAGGAGCAGCCACCGCCATTAGAAGAGTTTTACAAGCAAATACCAGAGGACCAAGGATTTGCACCGCCCGAGAAGTATCCTCAAAACTCTGTAGAATCCTCCACAAAACCTGAATTAGAAGGTAAGCTAATTTTTAAGTAAATATGTGAAAATGGGAAAAGTCTTCTACAAATAATGGGTGAAGGGAATGCTGATGCAATAGCCTTGAAGATTTCCCTATGTATTAAGTATACATACACGATACCAAAAAGTCGCGAGTTGGATACCAAGAAATTGACTGAACGAATGTGTGTAAAAGGTAGTACGTTTATATATATGTATGTATGTACATCCGTTTTAAGCTTAAATTGGATGAATAAGTGCATTCAAATAAATCAAGAGACTGTAGATGAGGCTTAACCTCAATTGATAAGTGTGGATTTTATTTCTGTATAACATACTTGATCGTATAACATGCATGACGTCGTGTAATGAGATGTAAAATTGCTTCGACATTCAAAAAATAAGAATGTATTGGTGTACATGTTAAAATCTTTACAAATTTTTGTACCTTTATGTGATTTAATTTAAACTTGCAAGCATTCATATGTGGTCAAACTTTAAATTAATTCATTATTAATAAGTGCAAAGAAGTCGTGACCACACCCGATTATTACTTCTAACATATGTATATAATAATATATCACACTTATGTAAATGTACTCCAATTACTTGAATGACACGTACCAATGGGTAAAAAATTAGATACATAAATGTATGTATTTTGCATCTGTGAAGTATTTTAAATTTAATAACAATAGCACAGTTGATACTCATAAAATATTTTAGAAAAATTTAGTTTCAAGTAGCCAGTAAGTTATTACACAGCTACTTTTCGCAGCGTAATATTGTGCGTTTTCTGAGGCGTTCACCATGTTAAATTCAAGCCGTAAGTTTAATTTTATAATTTTTCCATAAAAAAGTACCTTTGAATTAGGATTTTTGATTAGTACATCTTAGCCTTCATCTTATTTTGCTATATGTACACTTAATCAAAAAAAATAAATCAGAGGAATGCTTTTGAAAATCGAAATTTTTCAATGAAAACCTTGCGTAGATTTTTGTGCTTAAATTTTCCAAAAACAACATCGGTATTTGAATATTTGCGAATTATCTGTTCGTTCAATATTTTAAGATTATACATTTGCCTATTTCCTATCATTAACAGGTACCATTACCGAAAATACAAAAGTAGATACTGCTGCTGTTACAAATAAAGAAAACGGAACAATGGTGGCGGAACAAAACGGTTTGAACGATGGTGCCGACGAACAAATGTTAAGTGGTGCCGAAGACAACGAGAAATTGGCCGATAAGCGTGAAGAAGTGAAGTTTATCAAAGGAGGGGACCACCAAAATGGTGATGCGAAGATTGACATTGGTGCTGTCAATGGAAAGGTACGTAAAATAAAGAATAAAAAAAATTTTTTTTTTGGGATTAACGAAGCTTTATTCAATCTATTACGCACAAATATTTGCGTACAACTATTTACTTGTTACGCAGGATAAAGATTTGGTAAGCTCTATACCATTGCTTTCACTTTCTTAATGCCTACAAATTAACCAATGCCACATACATTTTAAATTTAAACTATTCGTGATTAATTTCAGGCTTTCACTGGCATGACTAAAGAAGAGCTCATGAAATACGCCAATGATCCATTTTGGGTACGTTTACGTTGGATTTTCTTTATTGGTTTCTGGGCAATTTGGGCCGGCATGTTGATCTGTGCCATACTTATAATTGTTGATGCTCCAAAATGTGCCGCACCTGAACCACTGCCGTGGTACAAACGTGGCGTCCTCGCTAAATTCAATGCACTCGAAGCTGTAGATAGCGATATTGACAGTGCAAAAGTTGTTGGAGCTTCGGCTGTCATATATGAATTGCCACCTGCACTAACGTATTTGGTACATGATCCTGCTGTTGAACAAAAACTCAAGGGTATTGTTGATAGTTATAAAAATGCGGATATCAATGTTATACTGGACCTAACGCCAAATTATGTGCCAAGTAATTCAACTTTATTCACTGAAGCCAAAAGTGACAAATCAAAGCGTTCAGCTTTCATATGGAAAGAGGGTTCGCAGAATATCAGCAATTGGCGTTCACTCCAAAATACGTCAGCTTGGGATGAAGTTGAAGTAGGCAACTACGTACTCTCACAATTCGGTGCAGGTCTTTATGATTTGAAAATGAATGACGTCAACGTTAAGAATGAATTCGAAGGAGTTTTAAAACATTTGCTGGCTTTGGGTATTAAAGGATTCCGTTTAAAGAATACCAAATTCTTTTTACTCTCTGACAAGACACCTGATGAGGTTGTGTCTTCGGATGGCAATTTCGGCCACACTGACTATGGATTTTGGACACATACTCACAGCACTTTCCAAGAAGGTCTGGGCGATTTGTTGTATGAGTATAAAATGTTCGTAAAGAACATCTCTGCAGATGCTTTCTTATCAGTGGCAGATGATATTTTACGTCCAGAGGTTTACCATACTAAGAATGGTGAATGGGGTGTGGATTTACCGATATATGGTCCACTTGTCCACACTTTGCGTACAGGTTCAAGTGTTGCAAAACTTCGAAGTGAATTCGAAAATATTTTAAATGCTGTGGGCAATGACACATGGCTGCAGTGGAACTTTGCAGAGCAATCACCAGTTGCTAGTCTGAAAAGCGATCCTTCAGCAATTGCATTATTTGTGTCATTATTGCCAGGAGTACCAGTTGTGCCAATGACAAACACATCACTTTTTAAGGATTTGAATCCAGAAGTTTTTGCTGAAATAAAGCAATTGCGATTGTCACCATCTTATATGCATGGAGAATATAATGTTTTTCCTTTAGAAGGACTATTTGCTTATTCCAGGTAATTTATATATTATTATATTATATATATATATACTATTTATTAAAAAGACTTGAAGTAACTCACTAAACTTATATTATATATTATATTCGTTTTTTTTTTTTTTACTAACACGCACACTTTGCAGGCAAAGGTGAGATATCTATGAAGCTAAAAATACTTTAGAATTCAAAATTTTCTATTACAAACAATAAAATAGAATCCTACGAATGAAAAAGTATATGTTTTAACTCAAACTTTTACTTTCTTTCACAGAATAAAATCTGGTAATCCTGGTTACTTCGTAGCTTTCAATCCATCAAATACTACTGTAAAAGGCGAATTCATCTACCCGTCATTACCAGACAAAATGTCAGTGTATGCACTTAGTGAGAACTATAATATATCGGGCATTACTGTCAAGTAAGAATTCAACCTGATGTTTAATAAGCGAATCGATCTAATATTGCTTCCTTTTTTTCAGATCTAAAGTTCAAACAAATTCTGTAGAGGTCTCCCCTGAAGCTACAATAATACTCACTTATGTACCTGTAACATCAGGTTAAATTTATAAGGGATGCAAAATCCTTAATTTCACATATATTTAAATGAATGTGACAATATTATAAAAAAAAGAAAATGTTCTGTGTATTAATATTGCTGAAAGTTAATCACGTTATGCATAAAGTAAAATGTTACCGCTTTACATAAATAAATAAAATATTTTTTTCAAAGTTGAAAAACGATATATATAAATATAATATTAAAGGCATTGCAAAAAGTACTCTGCTGTTATTTTATTGCATAGAATTTTTTAATAATTCATGGCAGTCGGGAAAAATTAAATATTACATGGAGTGGTCGGACAAAGCTCAAATATGAAAGTCCGATATCTGGTGTTCTTTGCTGAATACATAAATGTAAGATTTTTACGACTTTGGTACAGATTAACTTAACACTTAACACTTGCATGCAGCTGGTGATTTAAAAAAAATCTAATTATTGCGCTCTAATTAATATTTTTATTTTATTTATTGGGTTTATAATTTCAACTACTTCCGTTTAGCAAAACTTCATCAATTTTCTCTCTTTGCTCCTGAATAGCATTCTTAAGCAACTGAGCTTCGGTTTCCAGTTCTATTTTTGCAGATTCCAACTTAAGTTGATAATTCCGAATTTCACTATTAAGCGTTACTAAGTCTTTGTGATCAGTGACAGCTTTTTCGAAGCGATTCCACCAATCTTGGTGTTGCGCATCATTTCTAGGCGATTGTCCTCTTACAGTCTCGTCACTCAAATCTACATGAAAAGTTTCCATATCTTTCAATATTTGTTCAACAGTTGGTGGAGATGGGGGAGGTGGATATTTTGAATTTTTAGTTTTCTTTAACATTTTTTAAAAGTAAACAAAAGTTTAGTCTCGTATTTCAATCTATTCTATTAAGGATTTATTTTGGACAACTGTAATGACAGTTAACAGCTGTGAGTACACTTATCGATTTATACTCTTTATCGATATATATTAAAAGGAAACCTAAATTGTTTAACATTTGGATTTTCAAAATTAATAGAAAATAAAACATTTAATTCTTAGAATGTATCGGAGTTATCACAGTATCACAATCTTTCGCGATTAGATGTCATAAAATATATATAACGTATGCAATTACTTATTTAATTTTTTGTATGGCAACTGTCATTGTTCATCGTCTGTCGAAGTATCGTTTGACACTTTGATAATTGTGCCTTATTGGCTGATATAGTTGTTAAAAAGATATTGGAAATTTGCTACAGCATTTTCAGGAGGCGTTCGAAGTGTATTTACATTTCATCATGACGTTGGGAAACATAAAAATGTTAACTATCAACAATTACAAGAATCAGTAAAGGTAAACAAACAGGCAACGAAATACAGTGAAGCGCCTTAATATAATAATTGCGAGAAGGAGGTAAAAATTGACAAAGTTGCTAACGACATTAATTAACGCGCCGAGCAGAAATTTTGTCGACTTTAATTATTAGACTGCGGGGTTGAGGTGATAACCCGTTATATGTTAGTAGGTAAGCACAATGGGTTATTTGTTGTATTTTTATTTAAAAAACCTTTTTTTCTTAAATAGTGTTCTAAGGATTCTGTGGAAATGTCACCGCCAAAAAGCTGTGCTGTTTGTGGTGACAAGGCATTGGGATACAATTTTAATGCGGTTACCTGTGAAAGTTGTAAGGCTTTCTTTCGTAGAAATGCCTTGGCAAAGAAACAGTTTACCTGTCCCTTTAGTCAAAATTGTGAAATTACTGTGGTTACTCGACGATTTTGTCAGAGATGTCGTCTGAAAAAGTGCTTAGATATTGGTATGAAAAGTGAAAATATCATGTCAGAGGAAGATAAGCTTATAAAACGACGTAAAATAGAAAACAACCGCGCTAAACGCCGACTCAATGATAATAAAGAAGGATCTATAACAGACAGTGCGGCTTTTGATATAGTTTCACACGATTCGCAAAGCTCTTTTGATAGTGGTAAAGGCACAGGGAGTAATAATAGTGGATCAGCGGCTTTGGGTAATCAGTCATCACCGTTGAGCGCTAATGTGCCAATACAGTCACCAATAAGATCGCCAATGTTAGTCGAATCGGATGGTGAGACAAAGCCTGAACTAATGACCAGTGAGGAAATAGTTGAATTTATTGTTGGTGATCCCGATCGTGCATCTCAGATGATAAGTAAATTAATGCGTACAAAAGACGAAGCGCTGGCTATTGTGGAGAAAATTCTTACTTCTCAGAAAGACGCATTGCGGCTCGTGTCACATTTGATTGCATTCCCCGGTGAGCTTCCATGACATTCACTAATTATGGTTAATATCTTATATATGACTAATATCTTATTTCTTCTTTATATTAGGCGACGCTTTAAAAATCATTAGTAAAATAATGAATTCACCATTTGATGCACTAACGGTGTTTACGAAATTTATGAGTTCGCCTACCGATGCTTTAGAAATTATTTCAAAGATTGTTAGTTCTCCACAAGATGTTGTGCAATTCATACGGAATCTTATGGAATGTCCAGAAGACGCGCTAGATATAATGAATAAATTTATGAATACACCTGCTGAAGCATTGCGCATAATCAATAAAATATTCAATACGTTGAATCCACCAACACGCAGCGATGAATTGCATAAACTACTTTTGGATGCTACAAAGGATAATAAGGATACATCATTCCTGCCGACACAACAAGCGCCTACAGAATCGGAAAGCACGGAGAAAGGAAATTATTTGCTACATTCAATGCTCAATAACAGTCCCGTTATGGCGCAAGATTTTGTAAATGGCGTGTCCTCTCGTGATCAACATTCAATGTCGGTTAACTCCGATTTAATGATTGAATCGCCCATAAATATACAAGGCATGACAATAAGAACAGACACACCGGATCACACATTAACACCCATTCAATCTCAGACCTTACAGCTGGGATCTCCAGCAGAGTTACCTTCAGTGACAGCTTCCTTAGAAAACTCGTCACAAGGTATTTCTATTACGCCTACAGATAGCTCTATGGCCAATCACGCTTTACGCTGCAACTCACCAACAAGCATACAATCCAACATTGAACTGCCAAGTACCTCAGCCGGACTCATAAATCCAAATTCGCCTACAGACTTAACAGCTGATGCGGCAGACTTTAATAGTGAGCACTTCGATATAAAAACATTCATACAAAATTCATTTCCCGACAATTCAAGTGGGGGCGATAGCTTAAATTCATTGGAGTCTGTGCTATCCGAGGTGATAAGAATAGAATTTCAGGCTTTTAACAATTTACCGCCAGAACCTCGTGTAAAACAAGAACAATTTCAATATACAGCAAATAATATGACAATGCAAAACTCAGGACAACAACAACAATGTGGCTACAGTGGTTGCAATACACAATTGCAGCAACCACCTATTTGCTCGCCAACAAATGCAATAACGGGTCGGGATCTCAATGAAGCTGAGCACATGAAGTTGCGTGAGTTGAAATTGGCCAGCGAAGCACTCTATTATCCAATGGACAACGATCTATCTTTACTTATGATGGGTGACGATAGAGTTAAGGTGAGTAAAACATATCAGAAATTGATTTACATAATTGGTTTTTGTGTCCTCGCTTTTATTTTGTGTGCTTTTTTTTTGTGTAATTTTTTTTTTGTGTAATTTTTTTTTGTGGTACTAAATGATAAGTACAACACATATGTTATCTTATCAGTTAAAATGTGTCAAAAAGCGCACGAAATTGAACACCTGTTATTTCAAACTCACACTAGGCTAAAATTATATGCGCGAATTCGGCTTATAGTTGTATGAGTCAAATGTTTTGATTATTATAGCTTGGGTATATTGAATATTGTCATTTGCTGTCTACGTATCAGATTCACTGTAAACCTATAAAAACAAATAAAAACTGTGTATGTTTTTCCACCACTTTTGTTAACCATTAAGCGGTTTATTTGCCACGGATAATGAGTCAGCCAAATGTGTATATGTGCATATATACATATATAGGCATTTCCGATCAACTAATCAGACGAATATTGCTATTACTAAATCTAAAATGCTACATAAGTTTTCGCAGGTGGTTAATTGCATCAATTATTATCAGAAAAAATAACTAGGCGCGCAGAAAAATATTAAATTCAACATAAGATATCCTACATTATACTTTTTCACATACTATATACATATTTTTTTAAAATATAAAATAATCAATATTTCTTAAATTAAAGTCAAATATTGACCACGGCATTGCATTAGTACAAACAAACTTATGGGACAAAACAGCAATATTTTTTGTTGATAGAAAATGTTTGATAAGAAATTTCCTCATATTTACATAGTAGTAATGCCTATTTCGGAACAAATCTTTGAACCGTTATATGACTAATGAAATGAAAATGTAATCCACTTACAGCCAGAGGACACGCATCAGGATCCGAAACTTCTGCAGGTGATTAATTTAACGGCAGTCGCCATAAAACGTTTAATAAAAATGGCTAAAAAGATTAGCGTTTTTCGCGATATGTGCCAGGAGGATCAAGTAGCATTACTAAAAGGTGGTTGCACCGAAATGATGATCATGCGTTCCGTGCTAACATATGACAATAACCGCAATACGTGGAAGGTAGGAGTTGTTATACGTCACTGTTTAAAAAATTAAAATTTAAAACAACTTGTATAACTTGATTAATTTTTAAAAAAACTTTAAATACAATTTTTCAATTATATAAAAATTAACTTTTTTCTCATTACATACATTCAGTTGCCGCACGTTTCCAATATGGCTCATGTACGCGCAGAGATTTTAAAGCAAGCAAAGGGAAATATTTACGAGGAAATTTTGAAATTTGTCGGTACTTTCGATGAGAAGTGGCGCATGGATGAAAATATAATTTTGATCATGTGCGCAATTGTGCTTTTTACACCGACGCGTGCGCGTGTCATACACGCGGATGTCATTCGTTTAGAGCAGGTGCGCACACATATACACATATACAAAATATATTATTATATTAATATATCTCTTTTGCAGAACTCTTATTATTATCTTCTGCGAAGATATCTAGAGAGCGTCTATCCTGGTTGCGAAGCAAAGTCAGCTTTTATTAAGTTAATACAGAAAATTTCGGATGTTGAACGTCTGAATCAATTTGTGATTGGTGTTTATTTAAATGTGAATCCCTCACAAGTAGAACCGCTTTTGAGGGAAATATTTGATTTGAAAAATCATTAGTTAAATACCATATTAGTGACGGGCTAACTAAACGCTTGCTTACACTATTTACATATATATATATATATATATTATATATTTATAAATAATGTTGAAACTACTATATAGAGTAGCATTGCTTTGTATTTGTTTTGTTTTACTTTTTTTTTATGCGCCAGTAATATATTTAGGAGCAAAGTAGATATTTTTTATTTCTGCAGTGCTACTTTAGGGCATTATCCATCACTGTACATTTAGAAGTTTATCCATTTTAAAATAAATAAAGAAAAAAAGTAGGTAATTTTTATAATAAAATATGAATTGTTGAATGTAACGCGAAAGCAACTATGTATATTAATACATTGCATTGTATAACACATAGGAATGTCTCGTCAACTCGGGTGCATGTGATAAATGTACAACACTAACTAGTTATTACAAACTTAAAGTTATGCTATTTTTAATATTATACACTGATAAATGAGAATGTTGAATCCGAATGCATATATACTATATAGGCATAAACAATTTTAAATTGAGCAACTATAATACATCACCTATTCACTGTTAGATGCAACACAACACAAGTTGGTAGTTTAAAATGTGCAATTTATATAACACAGATTCAATCTAAAATATGTTTCAATAAAAAAGAGTCTATTTTGTGTAACAATGGAATATCGCTATGCTTTTATTTCAATCGGCTGTTTGTAAATTATCAATAATGAATATCTATGTAGAACTTTAGGGAGTAAATGTAAATGTTAGGACTATAATTAAAATATTTCTTATTCCTCTATGTAAAACATCTTCAAATCCAATTACGCCCCACACTACCGGAACGGCGCTTGTTGGCCTTGTCATTAGTTCCGCCACTGTTAGCATCTTTACGACCGCCAGTGTCTGGCGAACCACCCGATCCAATATTGCGTATTAACAAACGCAATCCTCGTGCCTGTGCGTCACTTGCTTGTGCCACATTATTTACTTCGGATGAAATTACTGAAAAGTCGTCCACTACATGCCCGGGTGGGCTGACATCAAACGGCAAAATGTCAGCAAGACTTTGCTGAGGCCTATATGATGTACGACGTCGCGCGCCGTTCGAATCACTGCCCGCAGTATTAAGATTTTGTGTACTACTTGATGTCGATAACTGTTGTTGCACTTGTTGTAAACGAGTTTTTAACAAAGCATTCTCTTCTTGAAGACGTCTTATGTGCGCGGCCTCATACTCCGCACGCACGAATGTTGGTTGTGGTAAACATTGATATATTGTTGTAAGAAAGTTTCGCAAGGATAACTGTAATGTATCCTGCCATTGTTTCGAAAAGTACAAAGCAAAAGTTGGCGATTCCTCTGCGTTTTTACAAAATGGAAAATCTGAAAAAATTTTATTTAGATTATTTTGTGTTAAATTAATTGCTCATAGTGTGCATACAAAACCAGTCCTTCCATTCGCTTTGCTGTTGTAGTTCTGCTGCGAGTTTTGCAAAGAATTCAGTGACTTTGTCCAAACGATTGTTTGAATAAGCAGTCACCAGGTAAAGCTTCAACAGGCTATTTTCCAATTTCTTCACAGCTAATGGAAAGTAGGGTTAAATGGGAGCCTGTGAAAGTCGAATAGAAACTTACCTGTGGCATAAGTGTGTTCCAGTTTGCTGAACAGATTACTATCCAAGTGTGTCCATAGCGAACGTAATGCTGATAAATCATGGTTTTGTATACACTGATTAAAATTCTCCAACAATTTTTCAGAACGGAAGCTCTGATCTTTTTCAGTTCTTTGTTCTTGGTCAAGAGTTTTTAATGTGGAGGAGAAACCTCGAAATACCAAATATTCCTTCAAAAGATTGTCGAGAAATGTTACTTGTGCCATGTTACCGAAATTTTCGCAATCTATTTATTTTGTTAGGAAAATGGAAACAGATAAGATGAAGTAAACATCTGTATAAATGTAAGCAAAATAAGAGAAAAACATCAAAACAATATCAGAGATGCAATTATGGGGCTGGACAAGGGAAGTTAATTTTGTTTTTAATAGTTAACACGTTAAATATTTTTAATGTATACATAAACATAATAGTATACATGGAAATAATAAACTTCAAACCGTATTAAATTGTTATGCAGGAGCAGCGAAACCAGAATGGATCATTAGAATTAGTAAAGAGAAAGTGAATTTTCGATTATCGGTAGTGTTGCGGATGAGAAGTTTTGTAATGACATCGCTATCGTAATCATTTGACATTTTATTATGTGTGCATATACCTATTGCCAATTGCAAATTTTGTATGATCGCGTGGAATTGTTGTGAGAAAAATTCGATTTTTCGTATTTTAATTGCGCGCAAATTAAACCTTAATAAATGCAGTGGTTGGTGGAAAGTTTGAAATTAAAATATGAATCAAAAGGGAGCGCGAGAACAAAATGATATATCGATAATAAGGAATCTGCCAAAGCGACTGCAAAAGAGGATCGTTGAAGATGTTAGCGATAACTCATTGGTAACAGTTGATGATACAACAAGGCAAAGTTCTAGCGATCAACCCTCGACGTCCAAGGGGGCCGCAAAAAAAGATGATAATGATAAGATGTCTAGGCGTTTTCTGCAAAAGCAGACGACGTCAGGTAATGCTAACCAGCAAGGTGAGCTTTGCATTCGAAATAGGCATAATCAAATTATTTTGAATAAATATTAACAATAGAATTATTGTTTTTTTTTTTCAAGGAAACGGAGCCATAGACGCTACGAGCATTAATTTTTTCTTGCAAAAAAGCGCGCCCTGTACCAGGACACTAAATAAAAACAATTTCAAAAGAGAAACTGTGCCCGTTTTGGAAACCAGCGGGAAAGCAGTTGATAGCAAAGCAACTAATATCAAAAATGTCACTCCATCTACAAACTCAAATGTCGGCAATAGTTCAATACCAGGAATACTGCGTTTAAACGATGCCAAACATGTACAACGAATTACTGCAGAAAAAAATATGAACGGTAGTGAAAAATATGTTGGCCGAGATAACAGTAAGAAAACAACAACGCGTTTTCATCAAATCAGTGAACAGTTCACGAAAGCCGACAATATTTTAACAAAATCACCCATACGCCAGTTCCAACGGCAACTGAAACAACCACCTTGGTTCGAAATGCTTACTCTAGTACAATATGCTGAACATTTACCAAAACTTTACGAAAAAGTTACATCGGTATTACAGCAAAATATAGTCATTGAGGTAAATTGATTGCAGAACGCAAACTATATGAAATTAATGCTTTTATTTTCTACTGTATTTTTAAAAACTTTTTAATATTTTTTAGAATTGGTCTGAGTTTAATGAAGCACGTTTAGAGCTTCAAAACATATTTACTAATCTGTTACTGCAACAGTTAAAATTATGCTGTGAACAGAAAATCGACACATTTTTTTGGAAGTTGCTGTACTATAATGTGCGAGAATATTTCATATCAAGTACCAAGCTAACTGCTGATGATATACACGATCGATTGCTTTTACTTATTGACGAGGGTTTAGATTTCTATACTAACCTGCATATGAAACTTAATTCAAAATATATAAATACCGATCAGAAAATCGCAAATGTTCTGTTACAACACCCAGGAAACAACATCACTATAGCTAAGGAAGTACAACCACAACGTTCAACGCACAAATTTGAATTTATCGCCAAAGTGGCCGCCCAGAAGCTGCTGATTTGTCTAGGTGACCTTTGTCGTTACAAAACTAAGGAAATGCAAACAAATGATTATACCGATGCAGCCAAATATTATCAGCAAGCACAAGTACTAATACCAACAAATGGCATTCCCTATAATCAATTGGCCATTGTATCAATACATGCGGTAAGCCAAAAGATTTGAAAGTTAAATAGTTTTAGCAATTAAATATATATCAATTTATTTTACTAACATAGCGCAAAAAATTCGACGCTGTTTATTATCACATGCGTAGCTTGATGTCCTCCAATGCTATATATTCAGCACGCGAGAGCCTTTTAGTTTTGTTCGATGAGATTCGTAAGAAGGTAAATTTATATGAAATAAATAATTTTTAAAAATAACTAAATATTTTTTAAGTATGAAGAGACTGAATTAAAGAACTCGCCGGTGCATCAGGGTAGCCCCCGTAATAATAACAGTAGAAATTCGAAGTCAATGCGTAAAGAAGTTTGGATACACGTGGACGGCGTACGTCGCTGGCATCATTCCTCTGAACCGGACAACAATAAAAACAAAAGTGCTTCAATAAAAGAGGAAAAAAAGTTGAAAGAGTTGTCAAGCGAAGAGGCAAGTGAAGTAAATGAAGTTTTACTAAAATAAAATTTTTTCCAATACTAAATAAATTTTTTTTACTACTTTAGCTGCTACGTCGGTTTACATCGCTGTATTTGTATGTAATTGGAAAATTATACACTGGCATAGGGTAAATAATTTTTATTTTTAAATATTTGTTAAAAAAATATATTTTATTATACCTTGAACAGGGTTTGCCACGAAGTTGTTAAAACAGAAAAAGAGACCCTATAACATATACATATATAACCATGTCCGTCTGTCTGTACGTCCGTAATTAAATACGCAAACAAGAAGCTTCTAACTTGTCAGAACCGCCAAACGATCAAAATCATGCCCCTTTATGGAAAACTTTTTTATTTGACAAGATATCTTCATGAAATTTGGAATGGATTATTGTCTAAGTTAACGGTGCAATCTTCAAAGAAATTGTTTAGATCGGGCCACTTTATGCTAAGCTATTATACAAAAAGGTCGATCAAAATCCAGTCCTGCGTGAACAACTTTTTTTTTTTTGACAATATACCTTTCACGAAATTCGGCGCGGATTAATATCTAAAGCTACGGTACAATTCCCGAACAAATATTACAGATCGGACCAGTATAGCTGTGATCCAAACTGACCGTTGAAAATTAAACTCTTTTTATTTGTTAAGGGTATTATAGCTGAAGTTAACGGGTTTTCTTGTTTTTTCATAATTAAAGCATGGAGTCTATTGTCGAACAGCAACGCAAACTTTTGGCGGAACTTAATGTTCTACTAAGTCGCAGCCCATTTCCAATGAAACGATCTCGCCTACTAAAAATAGTGGCATTAAATATTTTTTTACTCGAGCACAATATGCACAAAGGTATGTGGATGTGCATGATATAATATGTCATTAATAATTCCTCATAATTAAAATTATTTAAGAATCACGTCGTGAAATCCGCTACTATGCATTTAATTTTTGCAATCAGTTTCTGGGTCTGCTCTTACAGAAGTGCAATCAATTATACGAAACATTCAAAGTTGACATATTGGATGGTGAAATGATTTGGTAAGTTGTCGCATGCAACATTTATAAGTTATGCTTCTATATAATGCTATCTTTTACTACAGTAATGCCGATCTAAATACTTTACTGCAATATATAAACGTCTATACAGACTGGTTGGCGCGTCATGTGGACATTTGGGAGGCAGTGCGCAGTGAAGAGTTAGTAATTTGCGCATTTGTCTTAAAGATAAATTTAAATTTATTTCATTTAAAAACGCAGACATATCATTATTGATTGTTGGACCGATTGGGAGTGCTTTTATCAATTTCTTAGACGCATGATCGACGAATCGGCCACAACTAAATTGCCACGCTGCGTTTTGGAAGAAGAGTTGTATTTATTGGGTTTTACACCGATCGTGTCTACCACAAATAACAGCAGTGTGCACAAGAATCTGGACATGCATTCTTCAAATGATAGAGAGCAGTTCTTTCCACGAATTTTAAAAATATACGCTTTTCATGCACAGTACGAAAAAAATCGAACGAAATTGCAAATGCGCAACGACACATTTACATTGGAAGAGCTCAACGGTGTTATGGAGAAGGCGTTGTGCACGCTGCACAGTGACGAAGACGATAACAGCGAAAATATTGTGGTAAATAGCGAAAGCATGGAATTAACGCTCAAAGAGATTAACTCGACAAAAACTGAGGGTATTGAGGATGCGCAAATTTCGCAATTATCAAAGAGGAAAAAGGAACTGGAGGCCCGGTCGAATGTGAAGAAAATGTATAGCGCAAAACTCGAAGTAATTTTTAGGAAATTAATTTCACGGTTTGCGTTGTATAAAGATTATTTTTTTCGCTTTTACAGGAAATACTCAAATTTGTCGACACCACGCTATATATAGAAGTGCGCCCGAAATATCTAATGCCAGATACAAACTGTTTTATAGATTGTCTTGATGATTTCCAGAAGCTTATAAATGAATATAAGCGTTACATACTCATTATACCACTAACTGGTAGGTTATTGGGCATGGTTCAAATCCGAGTTGCATATAATGCATTAAAATGTAATTGAATTAACATTTAAATATATTTGTTTCGTAATCTTAATTAAAAATAATTTTCATGTATCTAATCTTCAATGCCGGTTTGAAAAATTAAAAAAAAAAACTATGTAATTCAAAGTACCGAATTGAAAAAAAAACTCAATCACAAATACCGGATTGAAAACTAAAAACAAAGTACCGGATTGCAAAAGAAAAAATTTTGAATTTCAAATACCGGTTTGAAAAAAAATATATAATCCCAATTTTGTAATTAAAAATTGCTTTCGAATTTACAGCTTTTCGTGTTCTACCATTTTGAACTAAAGCAAAGCAACTATAAACATTCAATCGATTTATATTTAATAAATTTTTAACTCGATATTTGGGATTAAAAATTAAATTTTCAATTAAACATACAATTTTTAATTCGGATTGCTGAAGATTTACTTTTTAATGCAAAATTTTTTAAATAAAAAATTCGCAACCCTTGTTAAAATATTTAAACTCTATAATGAAAAAATGTTTTCTTTTTTTTTTTTTTAGTGGTGAAAGAGTTAGACGGTCTCTCCAAAGGCGTAAAAGTGGAATCTTACCAAAACTCCTTACAATTCCAGCGCATACATCACTATGACGACGTTTCCACGTGCGCTAAACGTTCATTGGACTTTATACGTAGCGCCAAAAATAATGTGAAGTATGTAAAAGTTTATTATGCAAGTAATTGCTTTGTAATTGCCTTATTTGTCGTCGCAGATGTGCAACTACGAAGGGTTCATTTCTCAATGCTTCGCTATTTGCACTTTGCGAGGAAGAGAATGTGTCGAATGATGATAAAATCTTGGCCACTGCTGTAGCACTTTCGAAAACCATGAGCACTGAGACCAATAAAGGTAATTAGCGTGTTCTTATTTATTAAAAAAAAAAAAAAGTATAGTTTCATTCGGTTTCATTACAATTCTGAAACTCTTTGCAGATGGCAAATATTTTATACAAACCGAGTTGGTAATGATCACCACAGATCGTAATTTGCGCGTAAAAGCGTTGGCGCGCAATTTAACTGTTAGCGAAATGGGTGAATTTCTGAAGTGGGTCAAGGATTGCCATACCTAGCACTGTGTAATCATTTTGTTTACTATATACAAGGATTTATACCTGATTAGTAGGTACGCCTGTACGAGTTCCGGACTTCGTGCATATGCGCTTGTATTGTTGAAAAAATTTCGCATACATACGAGTACATATGTATTACAATTGGTGTTTGGATTTCTTATATACATACATATATACTTACAATATGCACCAACTTTTAGCGCATACTTATATATATAAAAGATATATATATACATATATTTGTACAACTTGGTGCTAATATATACGTAGCCATACTTGAATTTATTTGTACATTTCGATAACTATTATGCATTCTTTTTGTAAACTTATGCATTGTACCTATAATTTGTTAAGCGTACAATCGGGTTTAGGTAAACTTTTATACAACTTTTTCCGTCTGAAATTTTATTACTTCCAATAAATGTGGTTTTTCTATCAGAAAAAAATTTATTTTTCGAATTTTTTTCTGCTTAGTATTGAAAGTGATTCATTTACTGTTACCGGATTCGGGCGTTTTTTTTGGGATCCGACTGAGTTTTTATAAGTGTGTAAGTAATCCAATTTTCGCCCTTTAATAGGATCTAACAACAACAATAAAAAGCGGTTTTAAACAAACTGAGCGTTTTGGTAACTCTATAAAAATCATCCTATAATTCATGTCTCTTTGTTTTCCAATTTAATGAACCCATTCTGATATTCAAAAGAGCGTTTAGTGGCAAATTTCTGGAAAAAACAAGCAATTAGAAAACAAGAAAAAACGTTAACTTCGGTTCCAACGAAGCTGTTATACTTTGCTCTGGTGCATTTCTTATAGAATAAAAGGGTATAAAAAGATCTTTATCTTGATTTCGATCGTTCAGTTTGCATGGCAGCTATATGCTATAACCGTCTGATCTGAACAATATGTGCGGAGATTGTAGCGTTGCCTCGTACAATAAGCCGTGCCAAATTTTGCGTATATATCTTGTCAAATAAAAAAACAAAATTTCGTAGAACTTGATTTGACCGGTCAGTTTGTATGGCAACTATAGCATATATGTACATATATTGCGCAACCTTCAGATCAATATCTCAAAAACTCAGTGCGGAGAATGATACTTCGGTAATAATAGAAGATTGACGAAAAATTTATATAGGTAAAAGATCGATTCCTAGAGTTCGCTGCTATCAAAGTAATTCAAGTAATCTTGGATCCGCTATTAGCACATAAACAGACGGACAGTCAAACGGACTTGGCTAAATCGAATCAGTTTATCACTTATGTACATATGTATATACATTATACAATCTCCGATGTTTTCTCCTGGTTCTAACAAGCTTCGTGGCAAACTTAAGGGGTTAGGGGTAGTCAGAAATTTCAAATAATCAATTTTTGCATTTTGGTTAAGTGTAATATCTTAAAAATATTCTCTGAAAATTTCAAGTTGATCCGATAATTACTTTTTGAGTTATTCGACAAATAACAAAGAGCGCTCGGGAGCTTTTTTTTCAAAAATTTCGATTTTTTAAGATCAAAAATCTAGAAAAAAATTTCCTGAGGTCGCCATTTTGTTAACTTAACAAAAAGGGTCGATCAGGCCCAGGACTATCTATTTATAAAACAATTTTTTTTATCTGACGCAGACAGCTATAACTTTGGAAAATTATTTTGGAATTGCCATATTACTACTTTTGTAAAATAACATGACTTAATAGCAAAAGAAAAAAAAAATTACTGAAAATTCTCATTTTTTCTGCCTCTGACTACCCCTAACCCCTTAATATACCATGTTTAGGTTATTAAAATACTGTAAATTCCACTGAAATATTTTTTAGAAATTTTTGCAGTTATTTCAATCAACTTACATTAAATGCTCAAAATTTTGGCATCTATATACATACTTATAGCACGATCAACCTACCGATCCAATCGTAATACACGCTTAGTCCAAATGCTCGTATAACGTCCGAACAAGCTAATCTCTTGGGCTAGATGATTCGATGACATTTAGCCTATTTTACCTTCGAGTAGTGTTTAGTGTTTATATACCCGTTACAGCAACAACAAAAACCTTTTTTGGATCCATTAAAAAACATTTCTTTATAATATTTTTTTTTTTTTTTGTATTGTATATTTGCTTATTATTCCTTTTTATGTATATATTATTATTAATTATATTTGCTTTGCTTTAAAAATTATTCGCTAAAATTTGAAACCATTTTTATAAACTAAAAAAAAAGTTATAAATAGCAATAAATTATTGTTTGTCAAATTTTAAAACTTATAATTAAATATAAGCGAAAAATTTATGCTTACAATTATTTACCTATCTATATATAGGCATATACATACATACATATACATATGTATCTCAATTAATATCTGCCATAATTACTGTTAGCTTTCGATTAAAATTGATATCTTTCTTCTGTTGTAAATCTAGCCAAAACTAGTTAATTAACTGAACATTTATTATTATTTTATATTTATTTTTTTATTTTCTCATTTGAATTTTAACCGAAGAGAAAAGGCAATCGTTTCAGCGTTTAGGAATTGAAAGTACATATTTTTTTTGTTTTCGCTTTTTTTTTAATCTGTTTTGCTTCTTATGCCATAGAATAAATATATGATATAAATAAGTGTTATCAGTTAGATGGTCGGCCAGCGATGCAAAATCATGTATGCATACATAAATGGCCCGTTATGTTGGTATGCTTGTCATAATACATATATTTGGAGATTTCTTAACATTTAGCTGGCGGCTGTGTACTTCAAAAATCGAAGCATAAGTTTTGCATAGAAAGTTAGATTGTGTGTGCTTGTCATTTGAAATACTTGTGTAGGTTTGTTTTTGTTGTTTTAATTTAATTCCATTAATTTTTCTTTTGCAAATTCCAAGCGTTTACGCGCGGCAATATGGTTATCAATATATGTATGTGTGCTTATAGTGCTTATTTTTTCATTGCATATGCTAAACGCCTAAAAGTATGCTTTGCTTATTTTTATATACTCTGTTGTGTAAAGTTTTTTTTCATGTATGTGCGGTTCTCAAATATGGCTCTGTAAAGTGATATCAATACCTGTATTTAAATGCATCCATATGCTATATGTTAATGTATATATATATTTGTTTGTTTATTTATAAATGCATATGTTGTTGTAATACTAAACGATTTCGGTTTTGTTCTTGCATTGTAAATATGCAATTGATTAGTAATGAACAATCGTGAGCGCTGAAGCGTAAGCATTTGACGCATTTCAATTTTTTAACTGTATATGTGCAATCGGTAAAGTGTGTATGTGTGTGTGTGTATAAAACATATAATTTAATATTTCGAAAATTGGCATCAAGCATTTAGCATCACACTACTACAGCTAGCCTCAGCTCTTCGTCGCCTCGCTTCGATTTCGATTCCTTCAAGCGTCACGAAGAGTATTAAAAATAAAATAAAACACACGTTGAACGTTCGTTAATTGTTTTCGAAATTGCTTTTCGTTCGTTTCCTATAACTGAATGTCAGCATCAATGTAAGCTGTAGGCGTGTCTGCGCTTAGAGCGCCGTCTCCAGTGCCGGCATATGCGTAACAGGCGCTGTTGCCGCCGGCGTCAACGTTGCCGTCGGCGTTGGCGTAGGCGTTGTGAAACGAGTGCTTTCGTAATTCAACGTTGCCCTTAAGGGACTGCCATTAGCGGCGCTCAACTGCTGTCCACCATAGAATTTGTTGTTTGCTAAGGCTGTGCCCGCAGTGACAGTCGCCATTGGCGCTGGAGTCAAGTTTGTTGCCGACGGCGTGTTGTTACTTCTGCTGAATGCCGTCTTCATTTCGCCACGCATGAAATTGTTTTCCTCGGTTTGTAGGAAGAAGTTTCGCTTCAAATCGTATGCGCGACTGTTAATGCTTTCGGACGTATTCGCTGCTGTGATTGGCGTCGCCATTTCCTTGTCATTACTGCCGTTCGAGCTGTTCGTGCTCGATGCCGTGCTGGAATGATCTTCCTCGCTGTTGACCTCCAGTATGGTGGTGGACATAATATTGGTGCGCTGCACCGTATTTGCTAGACCGCCACCTGTGGCACTCTTCAGTTTGGGCGCGAAGCTTTTAGAAGGCGAGCCGAACTGACCTTGCCGCAACATACGTCGATTGGCGAAAGTTTTCGGCGATCCACTTAGGTCCAACAGCTTCATGCTGCTGTTCAATGACTGGGTACCACTGACTGCACCCGCTTTATTGACTGGCGTTGTTTCCGCTGTTCCTGTATTAACGGGACTCGTTTTTTTCAATAACTCCACTGCAGAGAGTTTCCGTTGCACAGGACTTGTTTTGGTCGATTTCGCTAGCAAAAGCTTTTTGAAGTCCAACAAACTTGTCTTACTATGCCCGATACGATCCGAGCAAGTGTTGTAGCGCTCCGGCGAATTATCGGCAGCCCAATTCGGATTGCGGCTCAGCGGTTGGCGACAGGGAGAATTATTCAGCGCAGCCAATGCGGCATCATCGCCTCGCGATGGCGTAGATGTTTGAAAACCGTTACGATTGCGCGGTACTATCGGCGATAGATTACTGGCGACATTCAAACCATTCGCACCATTTTGCGCCGCGGCCGCTGCGGCTCGCGCCACTCGTTCGGAACGTTTTATAGGCGTGGCATAGAGGTCGTCGCGGCAGGAGACATTACTTGGAGGCGGCTTTTGTTGTTTGCGATTCTGCAGCGTCCAATAGATGGGTGTGTTGCGCTGGAAAGGCGTCGTCGCCTCCATCGTTGACTGTGCTTCCGAATCAACTGGCAGTTGTGGCAGTGGTTGTTGTTGATCCCGCGTTCTATAGAAACGTTGATAACCTGCGAAGAAAATGAAAGAAATATTCGTCTATCAAATAAAAAATATAGAGCGCTATATTATTAAGAGTTACGAATTGTGTAGGGAATATAAAAAGAGCTTAGCCAGTAACCCAGACTTAAACTAGTTTATGGTGGAAATATTAGTAATTGTAATTTTAGCCATTCAATTATACCGATTTAGTAAAAATTAGTATTGCATACAGAAATTAATTAAAATATTTTGTAATAATCCGAATATATAATTGAAATGGGAAATGTACTTACCCAGACCTTGTCTAGAAAAAGGTGTGTTATACTTGACCCAGTGGAACGTGCTTAAAATAGTGCGTTGTGGTGGGAGTGTGCTTAACTTATCCATGTTTCTTATTTTGTTATTTACACTATCAGTTGTTATGGAGTGTGGTGATATTTACAGCTCGTTTAGACCAAAGCAGTCTAATGTGATCAAGAATGCGATACAAGTATTCGACCATCAAACTATCTTTTTTCGTTCATAAAATGTAACGAGCTTTCCACTTTTTTAATAAGAGTTTCAAACAGGCTTTGGTTAGGATGGTCAGTACTCATGTAAAGTACAAACGCATTTTCCGGAATTGTAAAGAAGAAGACATTGACTCAACACACATGGACAACGGCGCTATGGGGTTAGAATTACCTGGAATTTTTAGGAAAGCGCTTAAGGTAAGCTGCTTAATCATTTTTCGTGATTAATACTCTTGGAGATGGAACATTTTTGTTGAACAGATTTACGAAAATTGATAGTTTTAAGGATCAGAATTGTTTATACTTCCAGAAACTAGATATTTAGTTATTATGAATCTTAAAAGAATAGGACAATTAGGTTCTTTGGTATTGTTATTGTTCAATAATATACAAAGTTCCGCCAACAAAAAACTTGGATTTAAAATAACAATTCGAAGTATTTTTATTTTAAACTGCAGGCAACCTAGTATTGTGTAGCTTTCATACAATTGCGCTCTATATATGAAGCATGTAAAATTCTAATAAATATTTTGCTCGCATGTGGCATTAAAATCTCTTAACAATGATCTCTCAAATCTAATCATCTAGTAAAGTGGAAGCAACTTCGGTAAAGATATTTCTCTTAAACCTTTCATTGAGCGAGTCTGAGATACAAAATAAACCAATAACAATAGCAGAGCTATTCGAAGTAAATTAAGCTTTCACGAGAGTGTTAAATCATTTAATTTACCTACCTCATAAACTATTTAAATAGCAAAACCTTAATCAAAATTCAACAAAGCAAAATTTCTTTGCAAAATTCTTACGACATTCATTTTTGCGTCATGTGGTCAGAAGTTAGGAGACGAAGAGAGAAATACTTTTTATAGAAGATTTTCTGAAATTCATTGATCTATATGGGAATCGTAAGAGTATAATACATATGTACACTGACTGTTAATTGTCAATTCTGACACCAATCGCATGTAATGCGATTACATATATTTAAGCAAAAAACTATAATTCCAAAACCAACAATTTGAAGTCTGACTAACTCGTCTTATCTATGTATAAGTTATAGCATACATATGTACATTTTTCATAGCTATATATACATATGTACATAGTTATACAAAAAGACCTTCAACAATAAAAAAAAAAAATGGAGGGATGTGAAAATTATACCAATTCCAAATATTATGAACCACTCAAATTAATAAAAATATACAACCAATAATTATGTATATGATGTAATGATTTTGTGCATTTTTTTTTATTAAAAACATTGGCAAGTGAAACAGCTTAAATCGATTTGAACAAACATTTAAAAGTTATACTTACGTATGTTAACCATTTGCTTAACAAAAATATTTATTTTCATAAAAAAAACTTTCAGCGGTGGCTTGAGCTCCCATGTCACTTGGACTTTAGCCTTATAACTACTGAACAAAAATTACTTACACACACGTACGTACACACTAATTTACATATGTATGACACAGAAAATTAAAAAAATTACAACAATAGGCATATTAATAGCACAACAAAAACATGAAACGTGATAATTAAACTGCTAAGCGGGATGGACACTAATTTTTCAAGCTACTAAATGCGAGTTAAACCAAAATTTCAATGGTAAGTTGGAAATTAGTAAACAGGGTTGCATGTGTGGGAAGTTAAAATAGCAAAAAATCAACTACTACTACACATACACTGCGATGCATATGGTAAATGGAGTAATAGAAGCCTTTTGCACGATTTATTAATTATGGAATTAGAGATGTTAAAACTCAATTTAGTTATGTGTACCATAAATGTTTATAAGAATTAGCACTTGAAAAATTAGTGCCCATAATAACCTTTCTTACATTTTATTTTAGTTTTCGTTATATAAAACATTCAACTTTTCAATGCAAAAAAAACAACAATATTTTGATCAACATTGTAGTTGTACAATGCTTAATTCTCATAAAAAATATTTAGTGCAAAAAACTTTAATTGACTTATAAAAGATAATTATGTATGTATGCATGTTCTTAATATTATATTATATGATTTTCTATTTTGCGAGTAAATGTAATTATTAAAATTTTTTTTGTGTTAATTTTCGGTGCAGTTATTACAATAAACGAAAATACTTATTTAATTAGGTTGTTTAATGAAATTTTGAAATTGGATGCATTAATAAAAAATAAAAAAAACTTAATTATATTAAATATATTAGTTACACATTGCAGTTATTTATTAACACATACACTTATGTACAAATATTCATTAATATAAAATCCAAGTAAAATATACAAACAGTAAATATTTATATCTAGGGTTGCATACAGTTATGTCGAAAATGTATTTAAATAAAACAAAAACCTTTTATAAAAAAATGTTTAATGTGCAATAAGTGCTTAGTATAAAATTTAATGAAATTCACAAACGTTTTTTAGATAGTTTTATAAAAATGTGATTTTATGTACAAATACATGTTAGTATGTATGCACATGTCCTCCAGTCGTCTGTCCAAAATAGGGAAATAGGAAACATTTTTGAAAATTTTCTTCATTATATTATATATTAATGTATATAATATTATATGGAAAATAACAATTTTGTTCGAACATTTTCAAAAAGTATTAACTCTAGTTTGAAGATGGGGGTGTTGATATTAGTCAACACTTCAAAGTCTATCTATGAAGAGAATTATATTTAAAATAACTGTTGTTATGTGTCAAGGGTACGTAAAAGAAGGTTACCGAAAGTTCAGTTGGTATTCTAAACAATACCTAATACCTGAAAATATGGCCTTTTTAATCTACGGCATGTAAACCTTAATGAATGGCATAACCAGTTCTGAGCATCACTTGAAAAATTTCAAAGCATAAACCGAAATTGCTTGTTCAAGTTTTATTATACACATATACATATAGGAGGAATTGTGTGATGGGGAATGTAAACTTTTAGGAAACTTGTAATAGACTTTTGTTTATAATAATATGATCTGAAATATTATTTTTATTGAACTTAAAGTCGAAAATTAGTTTGACGTGATTCTTATGAAAAACTTGTTTATTCTTTTTAATACTCTGAGTAGGATATATTAAGTTTAGCAGGAACTTTGTAACACTCAGAAGGATACGTCGGAGTCTCTATAAAGTACATATATAAACGATCAGCGTGACGAGCTTATCCATGTTCGTTTGTCTATCCGCCTGCCTATCTGTCTGTCTGTATATACGCGAACTAATCGCTCAGCTTTTGAGATAGTGATAGGAAAATTTTCATACAACCTTTTCTTCCTACAAACTGTCCGTTTGAAATCAAGTTCTTGAATAGAAAACTCTTTTATTTGAAAATCTATATTCACGAAATTTGACAGAGGTTTTGTGTCCAAGACGACGCTATAATCTTCAAACATATTGTTCGGATCGGACTACTGTAGCATATAGCTGTCACACAAACTGACCGTTGGAAATATATATCATATAGCTGCCATAGAAGCTGATCGTACAAATCACGAAAAAGATCTTTTTATACGCTTTTCAGCTATAAGAAATGCCGCTGTGAAGGGTAATGCTTACTTTTCCATTAACTGCATTAAATCGCTCAATTTGGCTAAATGCTCGCCATTAACAGAACCAATATGTACAAAGCTGTTGGCGGCAGTAAACCTCTAAAAGTCTCCAAATAATTAACGTCTTGCTGCCACTTACAGTAACCAAACGAAATTAAAGTCAGTTAGAAATGCTAATAGCAATTGCATTTGCACACAACCACATTAAGTGCAATGCAACAACGGCACGGCGAGCGTAATTGAATGGCTGAAGCTATACTGAGATTAATTAACTTGTTGCATAAGTAAATAAAATACGGTAAAATTAAGTAACTATATATGTTTTGCATGTTTGCTTAGCCGCGTTGTTTGTGAAAAACTGCTGATTTTGTTGCTGGCATTTGCGCTTTTATAATTTCTTTTATTTTTATTTGTTTTTGAGTTAAAGTTATTATGAAGAGCACACAATAAATAGACACGAAGGTGCTCATAATTTCAAAATCCTTGTGCTAAGCGCAAACACTGATATATAAATACAACAATGTTGATGCATATGCACACATACATACATACAAATGCTCATGTGTCGGTGCTTAACTTCCGCTGCAATGTTTGCTTGTTGCAAAAAGATCAATGACAGCGTTTTGCTTTTAAAACTTATGTCAACACACACATATACAAGTATATGTTTGTATACATATATTGCATATAAAAGCAAACAAATTAATCATCTACTCCGCCGCATCCAACAGTTGCCAATGGAGTAAGCAAGCAACGACCGACGGCAGGCCTTCACTTTTGCTTATGCGCCATCCCTGCCTCTTTGCGCTTATGATGCCTTTACTCCTACTTAATGTGGTGACTGATGAATTCTCATAACCACAACCGCATAACCTTTTCATCATTTTCAAAATAAACTGTCATTGCTTGGATGTGCATGGGAGTGTGTGTGTGAGCTTTGCGCGCGAGATGTTTTAGTGTTAAGAAAACACCCACACTCACACACATACTTAAATATGTTTATATGCATATACCCTCATAGATAGTAATATTAAGTATGCGGGTAAAATATAAACACGAAAGAAACGATAAAATGCCTCAGCAAGTTAGCAAGATAATAGGTGGCACACGGAGCAAACATACGTACATTGAAATGTTCATTCTCGTATATATTTGAAAGTATAAGCTCATGCTTGCTTGCGTTAATAATGAAGCAGACGACTTAACAGCACCGACTACAATAGTCAATTGACTGTCTGGGTACCAGGATATACAAAGGGAAGTGTTATGATCGCACACAGACTAAACATGTGAGAGAAAACTAAAGTAGGGAGCGTTAGTTTTTTACAAACGGTGTATTACTAAGAAGATAAGAACGTTTTATTAACAGATTTCAAATGCAGGCTTTGAGGACATCAAACAATACATAACACTATTATTTAAGAAAATTATAATTTTAATTGTTTTAAAAAAGTGAATTTAAATTTTAAAATGTCAAAAGTAAATTCAACCAAAGATTTACAAAAGCTGGACAACTAAAACATTTTACGATTGTATACTTTCTAATGCAATTATATAATTATGTCAAGCGCCAAAATGTAGGCAATAAATACATACTAGATTAAATGTACATTAGGGTGGAGCGGAAAAAAAAATGTTTATCTGTATATAATAATAAAATCTAATAAAATCTGTAGATTTAAAAAAAAGAAAATTTGTGGCCAAAAAATTTTTTTTTCTCAGTTTTTAAGTTAAATTTTGATAAGTGTTCTAGAAGCTGTGGAGAGTCCTCTTTTTGGCTAATTCAAATTTATCAACTTAAAAAATTTTTTGTGGTCATTATTGGAGTTTTAAAAAAAGTCTTATATGACCAGATGCTTTCTTTAAGCGTTAAAATAAATTTTGAGTCAAAAACCGTCAAATTCGGTATATTTTATATAAACGTGAAGAGTTTAAACCAAAAATAATTGTTTTTTGGCCAAAAAAAAGTTTAACTCGAAATTTACTTTACAACTGAGTGTGCCGCCTCTAGGTGTTAAAGAAAGTCAAATTAGTTGCCCCTTTTTTAATTCAATAACTACTGGATTGATTGTTATGATTCCTGATTTGCTGAATCTTCAAAAAATTGCCAAATCTCTTGGTCCATCCTCCTTTGTTATTCTTTGTTAGACGAAACAAAGTTAACCGGGTAAGCAAGCTTGACATAAGACTAATTCATAACAAGACAAGCCGTTTTTGAAATCAATTTCTTAATATATGATAGTCTTGTCTGTAAGATGTTATATAATCGTGTTTAAGCGCCAATATGAAGGCATTTTTTTTTAGAAAAAAAAATAACGGAAGTAATTTTTATTCAAAGACCTATTCGAAGGATTAGGAATGCATAACAACTTTCACATTCATGACTTTTACGGGGAAAAGTTGTATTGCATCTTCAAATAGCGTATACGGATTTAAAAATAACTATTCGATAATGAAATTTACCCCACCTTTTTTATTGCATTTTTCAAAGTGTAGAAATGTCTTTCATAAGCTTCTTAAAGAAATCGACACTACATTGTAATGCTTATCCTAAGAGCACACTTAAGTCTGGTGTTAATTGAAAAAGCAAAACCAAACAGAAGAAAAAAGACGAAGCAATCTTATAAAATGAAATAATCGAGATAGGCGAAATACAAAAGAGCTCTCACTTATGGTAGAGTACGCCGTAACTGCTTCTATAACAAAGAGAGTGGGTGAGATGCAAAAGCTGAATGGTTTGGGTCAGTGACAAAAAGGTCAAGTTTAGAATTGTACTTAAAAGTCGCATGATAAGCAATTATCGTAGGCAAAGTGAAAGACGAAAAGGCGACAATTTTGCAAGTTTGTTAAATACAACACGAGCAAGCTTAGGCTAACAAGCTGTGGATATGAAGTAGACAATAGTGGCTTTTTGTCTTAGCCTTGCCTTGCAACTAATGCACAAAGGTGCCGGACGTAAAAATATTTGCATAAGTGCAAACGCCTATTGTGGGCGGTCACGTACATGGGCGCACTTAAGGGTATTTTAAACTGCGAATGTGAATTTACACACACTTACACATTTGCATATATATAAATATGTATGCGTGGCTTTTCCGGTTGTGACAAGTTCATTATGCGCTCAAGTAAAGCACTTACACAGGCGAACTAGAAGAAAGATTACAGCTTTTAAGGAAACTACTTGGGTGTGAAGGATTTTCGGATAAACTTGCTGCTAAGTTCTATTCGCTACAAAAGCAACCATGAAGATTTTTGTATTTTTATATATTAATTATTACAGACAGCAGACTCTTAATGCCTAACCTACTCCTGAAAGTTTTCTATCTTAATTGTTTTACTGCTCTACCAAATTTCGGTAACCTCAAATTTCTGCAAAATTCTACGTCTGCGCATGTCATTTTCATCGGTGGGTCGTACGACTTTAAATGGTTTCAATAAGACGCTGTCAATAAAAGACTTGTGGAACTTGGTATGCGAGGGCGGTGGTGACAATTCCAGCTCAGGCTCACTATCCGAGTCTTCAGCTTCGGAACGCTCCATTTTATGCTCACCAATATTATTGTTCAATATTGATGGTGAATCATCGAAATTCTCTAATGATTTATTGCGTAAATACGAGGAGTCAATCGAAGTGGTGGACAATGAGAACTCATCCACCAAACGTTCGAAAGACTTTGTCATTTTTCGCTGGCCATTGCTCTTCTCACCATTGTCTGTCGATTTGTTATGCAAATTGTTGGTGTTTTTAAATTTAATCGCACCTGATGCATGCGGCAATGTATGCGAATTGTTCTGACTATTGTTATTGTTACCATTATGTTGTTGACTTTTGTTATTCTGTGTGGGCGGCATGAAAGTGGCTTTTGTTAATGTTAGCGCACCGCTGTCTTCCGCATAAATCAGAAGGTTCTCTTTGTTCGTCTCCAACTTCACCTCATCGTTCGCCAGACGATAGCTGTTATTGCGCTTTAGCTGACGATGTTGTACGGGTGTGGATGTCAATGGCGTTGGTGCTGGTAGTGCCGAGTCTACGACTGTATTAGTCGAAATGGAAAACTGCTGCGTTGCAGCAATTGGGTCAGCCGTTGCAGAAATCGATATTCGTTTACTACAGTGCGTACTTGCGACTTGGGTTACGCCAAAATCAACAACATCGTCACCCACGCGGGATGTGAAACTAGAGTCGCTGGTGGAGATTGTGTACAGCGGTAGGGCTGGAGGCGTGTATGTGGCATGTACTTGCGACGTCACGGTAGCAGACGGAAATGCATTACGAGCATCTGCTACGCCATTTATTTGCGCCTTCCCCCTTGGCGGCAGTGGTGGGGGCATGTCGTTAGACGACGGGCGCGTGGAGGCCATTGATTTGTGATTTTCCACCACCGCCTTGGGCACATCATAGTGCGGCGTTTGTGCTAAGGGTTGGCTTTGGGATTCACTTTCTGCTCTTAAAAACGAAATATTTGATGCCGACTTTACACCAGGTACACTTTTGAAACTTTCACCTATTTCCCTGTCGGTAATGTCAGTGTTGTCCGTCAATATAGTTTGTTGTAAGCGTACAGTATTATTTACATCACTAGCTTTGGGTTGTTGGATATTATTATTTTTTGGCTCAGTTTGAGTATGGATTATGGTGGTATTTGTACAATTATTATGCGTATTGGGTTTGCTGACAGTAGTGGTGGTCAAAATTTGCTTACCTTCTTCCTTGGCGGATGATGCGCTCGATGTGCCGCTGCTGGTATTCGTGGATGCGCTCGACGATATGGTGGAGCCCGTGGATGAAGTGGACTTGGTCGATGGTGAGGGCATCATCATAAGCGCTGTCGCCGGTGCTGCGGTGTGCTGTGTAATGATATTGGTTTGGAAGAATGGATTTGTATTGTTGGCCAGCATATTCTTGTTGTCTTGGTAACTGCTGCTGTACGCCAGTGTAGCATGCGGCTCCTCATACAAGCCAGACGACAATGACATATTCGCTTGATTATTGGCTAGCTGTCCGGTGTAATTCGGCTGTGTTGCTTGTTGTTGCTGTTGCTGTTGTCTGGCTAAAATTAATGGTGACTTTGCAACAATGGGACGCACATTGGCGATTTTTCGGTTCGCCGCTACAGCACCATTTAGTAACAGTAATTTGGCCGCTGTTGTTTTTGCCGTTGCCGAAACATTCGTTTTCGTCACGTTTGCACTTTCACTGCCCAAATGAGACTGCAACTGAGATTGGGCTTGCAATTGCGTCGGCTGTAAGGGGTGCGTGTGTGTTTGTGCGTTGACGCTTATGATTTCGGGCAGCGCACTTTCAGTTTCCTTTACATATGGTCCAGGTGCGAATGTTGTGTGTGCGCCCTTGCGTCGCTTCAGGCTGTCGGATTCGTAAATAATTTTACCCTGCGAATTTAGACGGACGCGAGCACCCTTGTGTTGCGTTAGCGGAGAGACCAAAGACTGCTCTCGTACTTCGCTGATTTCAGCATACATGGGTACGGCGGACTCAACAACTGATTTCCTTTGTTGTGCGGATTCTGCGCAGTGCATGAGCGCTGTGGTTGTAGGTTGCTTCGCCTCTTGTTGGCTTACATTGCCATCGGTAATTTCATTGTTGGCTGTTGCACTCAATGCAGTACTGCTGCTGTATATGCTGCTGCCAACTTTACGCAAATGCTGTGGTAGCTCATTCAATGAAACGTACTCAGTCTCGCGTTTTCTAGCCTCCACAGCCGCTGCAGCTGGCTCGTTAGCCTTCGTTACAGCGTCGGCGGAAGCGGAGGCAATGTCGAACTTGCGTCGAACTATGTCATTGGAATAGTAGATTCCAAGACTACTAGCACCCACTGCCTTCTGAGCTGACAATTGTTTATGACGATTGTTGTTGCTAATATCTGCAATTGTCACATACTCACCGGCTGTGTCGTATAGCTCATCATCGTCAACCACACTCTCGGGTTGTGAGCTTTTGCTGGGCGAACGTTTAATACTTGGCAAGACGACCTTTAATTTTTCGAACATGTTGAATGCATAATTTGAATTACGTTTAAGCACATTCAGGTTGTGGTCTTTATCACCCTTGGTAGGGGTGAGTGGCGCTTCCGTTATTTTATTCGTCGTGTTCACGGCATCCACTGTGCAATAGCCGGTAACTTCGTTTATTTCCACTTTAAGGGCGGTTTCTGCCTTTGCAGCTGCTTTCGAACATGGCGAGCTTTGTGGTGTTAAAGTGCGGTCTGGGTCGTAAGCTTCATCGGCATCGCCGTCGCCGCCATCTCTGCTTTGGTTCTCGTCATCGCTAGTGGTTGGTGTTATGATACACATGGACGGAATGCGCTTTACGTTAATTGCAGTCTTTTGCTTTATGCGTTCAATACGTTCCACACCCTCCAAATCGGAGCTTTCGGAGCATTCTACTTCGGACACAGCGACCACTGCAGGCAAAGGTTGCGCAGAGCGTCGGCGTATACGTTTCTCAAAATCAAATTCTTCTTCTTGTGACTCGGGCGTATCAAAACTACTTTTAATGTCATCAATATCCTCCGCATCGGCGGCGGTATTTAATTTGAGTCCGGCGTTAACATTGCGTTTTATAGTGCCAGTGCGTTCTAAAGTGCTACCTATTGTGCTGCTGGAGTAGCTGCGTTCAAGCGTGCTGGTGCTTGCGCTATTGCTGTGATTATTCTTGTTCAACTTACCCAATGAGCTAATGCGTTCGGGCACATCAGGGCCCACGCTATTCAGGCTGCTTTGTTCGCCACCTACCAAGAGCGTTGTGCAAACAGTGCCCGCAGAGCTAGTAGTGGTCGATGTGGAGCCTTTGCCGAAGAGTTCATATTCATTTTCGGCCGTCAATACGGTCTGATTGGACTGGCTGCCGAAAGAATAATTACTCGTATGCAGCATTTGATTGTGTTGCAACGGTGTCATTGGCGGATCTTCCTCTTTCAGCGTGCGCAAACCGCTATCCATGTGAAATGAGGTGTAATAGCCTTCTGTGTCGCACGAATATGCCGAGCTTGTTTCATCATCCAAATGATTAGGGTATGAACCATCGGCTACCTGTAAATCAGGTGTAGCGGTACCCTCGCTAGTCACACTACTCGAGGCGGAAGTGTTTAGGAAACGGCGTCGGCTCATCATAGACGATGGCGGCCCACTACCCGGATGAAAGCTTGATACATTAAGCGATGTGTTGGATGCGCTCGATTTGGGTTGTATAGTGATTTCACTACCTATCGAAGCGCGTCCTGATTCAGAGCTGGCACTCCAATTGCCGCTAGATGAATGCGGTTGTTCCTCTTTGCCGCCCAAAGCACCATTGTTGGTGATACCGAGTCGTCGTTGACGATTCAACGATGAGGTATCACGCAACTTCACATTACCACAGGTGGCCAGATGCAGTTTACCTTTAAGGTGACCACTGCTACTAACACTCATGCTCTTCTCCGACGACGAATATGACGGTTTTCGTTCGTGCGAAAACCGACCTTCGCTCTTCTGGCTCACCAAATCATGCACAACGCATTCATCATCAATATCGCCCGTCACGCCACGCGTTGATTGACTTGCCTTAGCTGCATTGCTGACGTTGCTGTTACCGCTGTTGGGCTCTGCTTTCTCTGGCGTCGTGGTTTGTTGCTGCGAACTATTGCTGCTGCTGCACGCCGATACATCATTGGCGCCACTATCGGTGCCCGACGGCGTTGCTGTCTCGGCGCGTTGCATAAACTTGAAGCGATTGCGGCCCCATTGTTTAAGGGAATTTAGGCGCGTCAATGTGCTCTTCCCCTTATCGTAGGGCAAGGCAACAGCATCTTTTTTTAAGATATCGCTCGATTTGCTGCGCCCGAACTTTTTCGATTTATCGCCACGACGCACATCTTCGTCATTGCCATCCGTGCTGGCTCCTACGGGAAGATTGGCATTGCCTTGTGAGGTGGCGACGGCGACGTCGGTTAATGCGTTTTTAATCTCACCGCTTGTTGCTGTCGAGTCACTATATTGGAAAATTTTAGATTTTTTCGATCGACGAACGAAAAACGAACCAAAAATGTGTGGAAAAAGAAAAATAATGTTTGGTTTTTGTTAGTTTTTTTGCTTGTAAAAAATGCGCTCAGCGTGATGATGATTTAAGAGATGATTTTTTTAAGTGATGAAAGATTTCAGTATTACAGTATGGGGATATAAATAGTATGTATGTAAGTGCTAGCTTAAAATTACCCTACACTCTGCCGAAAAAATGTTTTTTAATTATTGTTTATATAAATATTAAATTTTTTTTTTTATAGAAATAATATATTTTTTATATTGGAAAATGCTTAAAGATTGTATATACAAAGTTTTCCTAAATCAGTGTTCCGAGTATATTTTGAGACTGATGTGCTAACTAAGTTTGGAACAAAATTAGGGAAGCATAAGAGATCATGTACTGGTTGCTCTATTTTTGAATCCAAATGCAAATCGACATAAAATGTTTCAACATATTTGAGGCTTAAGTTCAGTATGAAAATACAAGACTAGTCGAAATATTTTCCAGACAACGATGGAAAGAGCCCTGGTTCGGTTTTCTCAGTCTGGTGCTCAGCAAACATTTTTGGCACACATTTTTTCTCATTTAATAACAATAATTGTTGGTACTGTTTTAATTTAAAATTATGCTGCTGAAGACTTCTCAGCGGTCAACATCAATTTAAAAAAATAACTTTTTCAGATCTGTGTCAATGTTTCTTCTGGATGCTTTTCCCGATCACTATCAAAATACCATATATGTACTCGAGGTATGTGACATCAACAAATATATTCTTATGGTAAAATGAAACAAATTTTTTCTTAAAATAAAAAGAATAAAATATTAATACATGGATTGATCAGGGGCTCGAGGAGGATATAGTATGCGATTTCCATACATAAAAACAGGGCTAAAAAATTAAATAATTTTCCACGATTTCAATTACGACGAGCTATTTTATCAATTCTCTTAAAAAAAGCAATCCTTCAGATTCTATATAGAAGCTTCAAATATGCTGAAAAACATACTAAAAGTATTTTGCTTCGATCTAGCATATAGTTAGGCATAGCTTTTATCATCGAGAACCCTCAATGAGCACATGTATAATGTAATTAAATGTTGAAAAATTATGAAAACTATAAATATATAGAAAATTTTTTAATACGTTTTTTTTCGAAGAATAGGCTTTATAAAAGCACACAAAAATTAGCTTTAAATAACATTATTAATTATAAAATAATAAAATTATACAATATCTAAAACACCTTTTTGACTGAGAGTAAGGTGCCTATAAATATGTATGTATATGTATATATAAGAAAAAAACTTATCGAGCTAATCTGGTTTCTCCAAACATATCACCGATGAAATTATTGTGATCTTAAAACATATTTGCTTTTATTTTTCAATTTCCTACACGTTGCTCATAAGCAACATGGATGCTTTAGTGTGTTCTTTTTTCTGATGATATCATTGATACTGTTTTGGAGTTTGTTGCAGTTGTTGTTATTGGACTCATTATATAATAGTTTTCAACAATGAGCTTATCAAACAATTTGTTGGCGACTGCAGCTGACAACTGCAACACAGACAACACTTGAGCGAATAGCACGAAGAAAGTAGTGAAAATGAACAGAAAAAACATTCGAAACACACACACACACACGTCATCACCAATAACATGAACGACACAGCAAAATTATGAAACAACAAAAAATGCATTTTTACAGTGAACACACTGGCATACAAGAAAGCTTACGAGCATTTACAGACGTCAAAGATTGTTTTAATTTCCTTTTTTCTAAATTAATTAACAACAAAGTTCACAGATTTATTTCGAGGATTAAATATTTACCATTTCACTTCGTTTGTTGCTTTTGTTTTGCTCATTTTACGGTAGTTCTGTGTTGGTTCTCTTTTTTCTGTTGCCTTATTGGGGGAATTGGTACTCCCATGCCTTCCACGCATACACACATGTGTGTGTGTGTTACTTTAGTATATGTATGTATGTGCGCATAGTTAAAAGCAGATTACAGCATCGGCATTCAAAACAACAACGACATTGTTGGCGCATCAAGCAGGCGCTCGCACATTGCGCACTCTTCTTCTCCTCTTCCCTACACACTTTTGTGTTCATATAAGTTCGTTGCATTATCATTTCCGTAAATCAACGAAAATCATTTGCATTAAGTGTATTAACTATATTTGTTGGAATAACTAGGGGCAAAGTGGCGAAAGAGGGTTGTGTATTGTTGTTGCCAACATGCATATTGCTTGGCATTGTTTTTGCTGTCAAAAGAGCAACATCGCTTGGGAAGAATTATTTGACTTTTGATTTGATTGGAAATAATGAGGCTTTTACTCCTAATTCCGTAGCCGATAAGGAGCACTTAAGTAAATTAAAAAGGGTGTAAGCATGTCATTTAAAACTTAATGCAGTTGTGAAGTATTTAAGAAGTTTATATAGCTGTTCGATTTGGACAAATATGACAGTTGGAAAATAAATGTTAAGTCAAATTGCCTAAGGTCAAGGCGCTCGTTATGTTTCTTTATTGAAACTTATTACATGTGAATACTATATTTTTATTGTAAAATAAACAATAAAGACAGCAATAAAATATGTAATTCTTGATTTGGAATTGAATTCTGGAGACTTTTGTTGTTGTGATAGCTTACAGATAGCTAGAGAGATATACCCTCGCTAAATATCATTTTAATAGTGGGCCGTTCACTAAGTAATTTCGTTTGATGACAACAGCTGATGCTATTGAATGTTTTCGCATCCAACTTTACACCTAACCGCTTTACCGTTATATATTTAAATAGCTCATATAGTAAAGATTGTTTGTAAAAAAATTTCTTAAACTACTATAAAGCCGTTCTTAGATGCAAATCGTCGAATAACAACTCAAGATATTGGTGAAAGTTTTTAAATTGCACTAAAAAAAACGATTACTTAAATGATGTAAGTATGTATGTATAGAGAAGAACCAAGGTTAAGTGCTTATGGTTAAATTTCGCTGAAACTCCGTTAGATACGAATGAAATATTGTACGGAGAAAAAATGTTTGCTTAGATCAAGCAAGTAGGCTATCTCCAAAAAATATATTTTGGTTTGACCACCTGAGTTTTTATGTTTCGTTATGTCATATTCAAAAGTTTAGTCTGTGTTTTATATGGTGAATGAATTAATACCAGTCGCAATATCTAATGGAATTGTTTAGATTATTCTTTACAGTCTTGAGTTCCACAAATTAGAGAATAAGAAACAGGAGCAAAAGGAAACCAAAATGGATGAAAAATAAATCGAATATGAGGAGAGCCATGATCGCTTCTTCTCTATGCTAATTTATGGTTACGACATGTGGACGGATGAATCCAATCTCAATAAGAAGGTTTATAGCGGATTCTTTGGTCGGGCGCTCTTTATCAACTATAGTTTTCGGATCACTGCAGCCTGTCACTGAAGAAGTTGTGGTTCTCCTCGCGGGGATATCTCACCTAGTCTAGTAGTTGTAGTCTACAATAAACCGCGTTTAACGACACTTGAGAATTCGAGGTTCGATTTAAAGAAGTAGTATTCACGGAAGTTTAAATCTTGCTAGCCAATTGATTAAAGTTATTTGCAATAATTTTTTTAGAGTGTATGGGAATTCGGAAGCTGTCAGAATGTCAGAATTTATTTGGATGGTATCGTAACAACATCTACAGCTAGACATCTTGTCTCTTTTTGCTTGTATTTTACGACTGTATGTTGAACCAAAATGAACTCGTAACTACTTATCCAACGGAATTCTTAGATGTATGCTATTTAAGAAAACGCTGAGCTTCATCCAGAAATAGTCCATATATTATATGTATATAGCATATATACAGACACATGTATGTATGTAACTTAATCAAGAATCACTTAAAACTGCCCATCGCCAACTCAGCTTGTTCATTCGGGAAGGTGCATTGAGTCTTATACACATATATATATATATATATTTATGAGTACAACAATGTGTATATGCATACTTATATACACGACTTTATATTGAATTTTACGTGTTTTGTTTTTTTTTGTTTTTTTTTTTTTTGATATTTGAGACCAGCTTTAACGACCAACAACCAAAATGTACTGAGCTTCGGAGTGTTGCAATGGCAAGAAATATTGAGAATATAAACAAGAAAAGCATAAAATATAAGTAAATTAACTTTTGCTTTCAACATCCGAAATGGTATCAAATTGCAACAAACAAACAAAAACAAAACTGCACCTCGACACACACACACATGCTGCCTGCTGCGAAGCTTCAATTCAAGGGAATTTGTGAATAAAAAGCAGTGAACGCATTAATGCAGTGAATCGGAATAACTTCATTCGGCAGATTGGATCCACTCCAAATACACTTGTGAGTATGTGTGTACCTATATGTATAGATGTAGGTTTGCAGAAAATATACGGTGAACGACCATATAAAAAATCGCGTTGAAACACCGAATGGTGTGGACAGATTTATGGATATTTACTGAAGTGCCACGCAGTTGTTGCATCACGATGAAGGAATGTGCGGCACGAATGTGTGCGAAAATGTGAATTATGAATATGAGTTTTTATAAAAATGTATTTTGCATAAAACACTTGCAAACTTTTGGCTAGTATGTAGTATGTGGTTGTTGTAGGTTATGTATGTTGCTGCTTGGTGGAAGTTTGAGTGTTACTGTAATACTGAAATCCTTTTATTGATTTATGCTGCTGTTAGGCATTATTTGCTATTGTTACTTTTCAAGCGCTTCTTTCGTTTGACTTTTTCTTTGTTTTTGTAAACTATAATTTACTGTTACTGTTCTTTATTTGTTGTAGGCTGAGTTTTGTGTATGTTTATGACATAAATATGAACTGTTTGATGATAAAAATGTTGTAACAATATGGCTGCTTGCGTTGTTGCTGGTGGTGGGATGCTTGGATGTTGGCGGTAGGCGGTATGCGCAAAACCGTTAAAGTGTGAGCTCTGTATGCTTGTATGTTTGTATGTGGAGATGTGTTAAGTTATTGGCGAATGGCAAATGTCGGTTATGCTACTTCTAAATAATATGTATGGAGCGTCGCGTGATTTGCCTTTTTTTTAACGGAGCGGAGTTTTCGGCGCATATTTTTAATTTTAATTAAATTTGGTTAAGCTGTTAGTTTTAGTTGCATTGTTGGTTTAGTAGCAGTTTATTTTTGCAAATGCAGTCTTTAGCTAATTTTTTCATTACAACATATACTGTACCATTCAATTACAAATATTTAAGCGACAGCTAAAGTGTAAAATTTTGTTTCATATACATATGTACAAGTATGTATGAAAAAAAACACATCGAAACAACATAAATATGTTTGTAATTTGTATTTACATTAAGCATGCTGTGAATTGTTTAGGCAAATAAAGAACATATATTTTTTGTTTGTTTTATTATTGCAGTCAATATTCAACACAACATCAAATATTCAATTAAAAAATTTTATTTAGCTATAACTAACAAGGAATTTAGTAGTTTTGTTTTGAAAAACTCATTCGAAATTAAATGTAAACGAAAGTAAACAGCATAACAAATAATTAAAATCACAATAATTTCAACTAGGTGTTTAAAGATGTATGTATGTATGTATAAATGGCTCTAGTGTGATATGAATGTATGACATTTACTAAATATATATATGTTTAAAATGGTATGGTATGCATATATACGCCTAAATATTATTATTTTTTGCTTTGCGTTATTTACATTGGGGCGAATGCAATCGAGATTACAAATAAATAGTAGTTATGTATGTGAATGCATGAAATATTTACAATCAAATAAAAATGCTATAATTTTGAGCACAAAAAACTTTAGTTTGTTTTTTCAGTCCTTTTATTAATATTTTTACATATTGGTTGCAATACTTCTATACAAAAAATGTATGTATGTATATTCGCATTTAAATAAATACTTTTTGATCGCAATTGTTCACATTTTAAATTAGGATATATATGCATTACATATTATGTATAAATACTTAAATATTTAATTTTAAATTACATTTATTTTTATTTATGCGTTGGCGGCTAAACTGCAAACGAGCGGGTCAAGAAGAGAGCAAAGTAAATTAAAGCGCTTCCAAAACATTTTTTGTATAATGAATAACTGATAGCGATGGCTTTAATATATGTACGTCGAAATATTTTAATATTTATACGTAACTATTGTAAAATTGGCCCAATGGGCGACAAAAGCACGTATTTACATCAATTGAATATTTCACTAATAATATTTTAAATTATTATCAGCTATTCTTATATTGTCGCATAATTCATGGTTTAAACTTTAGTTTTTGTTGATTTCGTTTAAATACAATTTAATTTTAAATATTTTTAATATTTTCACTAAAATTTTGTTTTATAATATCATAATTCGTGAATATTTCTGCACATTACAGTCTGCTGGTTCAGTATTTTTAATAATTTCACTCAGCAATTAATAATCAAAAAACATTCATTTATTTACAAATTTTAAATTCGCGAACATTTTCGCACATTACTGTATATTTGCTCAATGCGCATTGAAGGCATTGACTCGCATCAAAATGCAGAATAGCCACCAAAGTCGTTGATAAACTTAAAAACAGGAAAACCTAAAGCAGCGAAACCATGATAAGACAACAACAACATACCCATTTGCCGCATCTTGAATTTCCTTCTGATCGGTGCCGGCGATTGTGTTACGTCGTTTGCCGCGTACACGTCTCGAACGTGAACGTCGGCTTACCGTTTGTACGTCATCGTTCAAATTGTTCGCCTCGGCCATGTTGCCGGTATAACAACCGGTTGTAGATTTGCGCGCCGCACACATGCGCTGGAAACGTTTGCCCGACGTGTCCACCGAGATCACTTCGGCTGGATACCTGGTGTAGAGGAATAAAGTAAGAAGTAAAACAAAAAAAATTATTAGCAAATTGTTGGCAGAAAGCATTCATCGGCGGCTACAAGTACACAAAGCAAGCGCATTGGATAAACAACAAAATTGCATTGTAAATAGTCAATCAAGGAGGCGGCTCAAGAGCGGTAGCTCTAATGGTCCACTGGTAGCGAATGCTTTAATGGCAGAGTCGGTTCTTGGTTCTTGCCGTGCTATTGGCTAGCTCAGTTAAAGCAACTTGTTTTTGTGATTTTTACATTTTTCTCAGTCGATTGGAATGGATAATTTAGAGGTTAATTGCATTCACTGCCATTAAAAGCGATCACGAAGTTCTCTTTTTAATTTAAATTAGGGTATGTGTTAGTTTTCAATCATATAGTACAAATATACTTATACTTAGTAGCCTGAATTTATAATAATGAGGCTGTAATGTGTTTTTTGCAATAATTGTTCTACTTTTTTCAGTATAATATATCACCTGATCAAATTTGAGTGGTTAATTTAAACTACGCGCGTATAACATATCGACAACTATTTTTTCCTAGATTGGTGCAACCTTTTTTTAATCGGGAATCGTTGTGAGTGCCACAATGCATTCAGTTGAGGTCGTGAAGTCATCAAAAACACACCTGCGGTCGTCCATCCACCGCTGTTAATGAGAATAGCAACGAAGGAGTTAATAGAAACAGAGTCTCGAAGTCGTCGGGTTGGCAGCAGAGACAACATTTCTTACGGATCGACTGAACACATTTTGGTTATTCTTTTAGGTATGAAGTGTGCCAAAGCTAAACTCGTACCAAAATATTGTAGTTGAATCTTGACTTGAATGATGACGAGTAAATGTCGCAAAAAAACAGAACCTTACATTAATCAAACGCCACATTACTGATGACGAGACATGGGTTTATGAATATAACGTCGAAACTGTCCAGCAATCTAGCGAATGGCGCTCCAAAAATTAGATTTGTATTAAAATATGTGAATATGTCCTTTTTTTTTTGTTACTTCGGGTAAAATTTAATCAGTTGGTAGTAGGTATACAAGATCGTTCCTCTTGACGAATGTTTTCCTAAATCTAAAGTAAGTTACCGTGAAAAACAAAATTTGTGTATAGGACTTCCCCGGGACTCGTTATTTTATAGGCTTTTTCGTGTCGTTTACATTTATAGTGAGTTCTCAAAATACGTTATATCGAAATGTTTCGCTTGAGAAAACATTTTGTTATTCGAACATGCATATCTAACCAAATATTATTTTCTGAAAAATAAAATTTGCCACCCTAGTGGATCTGTTTGGCATATTGGGGTTATAAGAATTGAGATGTGGTGCTGGTAGTTTTCGTAATCATTTCGGTTGTAATTGCTAAAAGTAATAAAATGAAAACGGTGGGTTCTAATTTCAAGAAGCTTTTTAAGTTCAATTCTATCTCAAACGAAGCTCACAAAGCTTTTAGTTCCATAATGCGGTTAACTAAAAGTATTTTGATAGATATATAGTTTTTTAAGCTTAGTTCTTATTTACGAAACCGATGAAGAAGACTAAAAACACTTTAGTTGACTACAAAAATTGTATGCAACTGCTTTATAAACCATAAAAGCTTCCGCTGTTGAATAATCAAATCACCACTGTCTCCAATTAGTGTAAACACCTATCTTTCCTTTCTAATGTTATTATGTTTAATTCTTGTAAATGTACGTAATTAATTATTATAGTAGCTAAGTTCATAGAATTTAGTTTTACTAGCCCCACACACCTAAAATTACACACAGTTACAAATTCAGCAATTAATTTCTTTAAGCTCAACTAAAATCATTGTGTATAATTTGCATTTTCGAAGTAAGACGAAAAGCTCATTACTTAAATGGTTCTTATTTAACAAAACTAACAAACAAATGCTCACGCTTCATTTTAGATTTTTCTTTGGCATTGTAGAGAAAGAAACGAAGTGCTTAACAACAAGTGACAAACTTAAGAAAGTGGCACAAGCAAACACGAAATTGTAATTAATAAAAAGAAATGTGTGTAGACCCCGCGTCGCAACTCACCTTAAAGCTATTATTTTACATTGTTCCTCGGGTGAAGGCAGTCGATGATTCAAAGGCACATCTTTATTTATATCGTTAGGCAGTTGCGTATTGTCGCCAATTTGGCTGACATTTATGGCGTAAAGTGCGTCGACTGCATCGGCCGACAGCACGGACGGAGATAGGGCGGGTGTCAATACCCCATTATCGCCGATCACCATCGAGGTGCTAATGGACGTGTCAACATGATGCATACAATCGGGTGTGACCGTCATGTCGCCTAACGCTTCGCTCGATGTCCACTTGCGGAGATCTTCAATGGCGGCGGGCTGGAAAAGAACGAAAAAGAAAATTTAATTAAATAGTTAATAAATTACAAAATAGTGATGTCACGAGTTTTATTAATTATAGAAGAAAAATGATAAGTAAGCAATAAGGCGATAAATGTGTGTAAAAATCTCTGTTATTCATAAGTAACGGTGACATAAGTCTTTGTAAATGCTTGAACTATCGAGGTTATGCGGATAACCTACAAATTATTGTGGCTCTGAAGAGAAAAATGTAGGAATTGGTCGTGTGTTAGAGTCATAATACACAAAAGTCATGAGTGAAACCATTTTATTTGCATTTTCTTATTAATAAATCTATATGTACATACCATAAAGCAACATAAATCAATATTTGCCACTGTTCTTAAGAATCCAATTGACCCCTTCGAATAGCGCTTTCATAAACGCAAACTTTTAGGCTAGGTCAAACGTTTCATGTTTCTAATTAAATTCTTATTAGCTAAAAACTATTAGCATAAAGGAAGACATTTGTTCAGCCGCAAGGAAAGAACTTAAATTGATTAGAATAAGGAAAACCTCTGTATAACCTGCAAGTATAATCATCGCGTCGAGGTCAGTTCAGCGCGAAACGCTAATAATTTTTTCACTCAACCCGTTTTGGGCGTAATAGAATATCTATCAAAATTTATGAACACACAACCGAGTTCAGAAAGAGTAATTTTGAAAGGTCGAAATTTTTGGCTAAGACAGGGCAGGACACTCCAGCGCCACATGCAGAAATGCAAAATGCGACTATGTCACGCGATTCACAAAAGCCCAAAAGCAATCGTGTGCCGTCATTTTTGATACATAATTTCATTTCTTAATAAGCTGTGGACGCTTTACGGAAGAGAAATGTGAAAGAAGTGGAAAACAAAATTAAAAATAAATACAATTTTGTTGAACTAACTGAAAAAATTAAGTAAATTAAATGTTAAAAGCCATTTGCAATGCTTTTCTTCACATTTTCACGCGTATAAAAATTCAATCAAGCAAATTAAAATAATAAAATTCAGTTGGCAGCAGAAAGCTTACGCTAAATTAAATTAAAAACCCCTGCAAACTAAAACAAACAAAATCTGGTGATACATTTAAGAAGACGACGAGAGAAAGTAGAGTAGATAATCAAATAAAATAAAGACAATATTGTAGCAGTTGTCGGTGGCAAAGACTGAGCGCCGCTTATGGAAGAGGAATTGCGCGGAAATCCTGCGCTTACTACATGATTGCACAGCCAAACACACCAAGTACTCGCTACTTATTCCAAATTTTTTCGCACACTAATTTATTCATTGCTTTTCGCGAGCGCAAACAAAAAAGATCTATGTAGAAAAGCAAGATGGAGAAAAAATGGAAATCGTATGTGTTATGGGAAAAAGTGAACGTAGTGTGGCTCTCGGGCCCTATGGGAAAAACTACTACAATGAAAAAGTAAATTTCTGATTTTGCGAATACCGAAACGATAGTTTTTAAGGTTAGTAATGCAATCTTTCATCTCCTTCTGCCTTAAAATTAAATTTATGAATATTAATACAACTTAGAAAAATTCCGAGTCCAACCTTTTTTAGGCTTATCTTGGCATATTTTTCTGAAAATGTTACCAATTAAAATGGATTGAATCTATAGATAAAAGCGTTTCAAACTATATAAATGTGTTTCCTAGTTTTTAAGTAGTATGAAACCCGCCATTGTACTCATGACTATCACAAAATCAGTCATGGCTTCACATCTCAACAGATTTAAACTTCAAAGCTTAAAATTATTTTAATATCGGTAACCTGCCTTAGAATCAATAAGTTGTGTGAAACCCCTGTTTTCCGGGTAATTTTAAGCCTTACACTCTTAAAAAGAAAAGACCGACAAAAACCAATCAAAATTGAAATCCGAAAATTCCAAACGGGTATTGCAAAATACCTCTTAGGGACCACTGGACAACTACATACTTGCTCGCACTTGAACAACATTATGTATTCTCATGTGTGTGTGTGTGTGTGTAGTGCGCGGTTGTTTATGCACTGTATTTGCCTCGTTGTCTCTAATCTGTGGTCATAAATAATACGCTTAATATCTGTGCAACTTTCATAGGAACTGTACGATGTGTGGTCGAATAGCAAGCAGCAGCATCAGCAATACGGCAACAACAACAAACGGAGGAACAAATAGGAAAGGCTACAACCAAGGCGATTGCTGTTGGAAGTGCATTGATGTTGCTGATGTTGCTTTTCTCTGAATATAAAGGCATGGCGATGCTGTTGATGCGGAGAGTTGGCATTGAAGATCGTTTTGAAGCGCAGTACGACGCAGACTACAGCACTGGTCAGAAATTACATAGAAATGTATGTATGAGTGTATGTGACTCTATGTAAATACATACCCTACAGGAAATGGGTGGTAGATTGTGTGACCTTGAAATAGAAATTTTTGAAATGCTTTCCATATAAAGCTGGACGATTTTTTTCGCATTAATATGAAACATAAATTTCAAAAATTTCAAAGGGATTTCGCCAGCAGTTTGAATCAAAAGCCTAACCGCCTTATACGTCTTTTGTAAATTGTACCATATAATATTTACATATTACTGATCTCTTAAAAATTTTTTTTTAGATTTATGGCAAAAACTTTCCTTTACAATTTAGACCAAAAAATTGTTTGATTAATCCTTAGTATAGATAATTATCATGATGTACAATTTCTCAAATTCTTATGCATTTTTATACTCTCGCAACTTGTTGCTACAGAGTATAATAGTTTTGTTCACCTAACGCTTGTTTGTATCACCTAAAACTAATCGAGTTAGATATAGAGTTATGTTTATATTATTGATCAGGATGAAGAGACGAGTTGAAATCCGGGTGACTGTCTGTCCGTCCGTCTGTGCAAGCTGTAACTTTAATAAAAATTAAGATATCTTTATTCTCTATCTACGGTGTAAAAATGGGTGAAATCGGGTGACAACCCCGTCCACTCTCCATATAACGGCACTGTTAAAAAATACTAAAAGCGCGATAAACCAAGCACTAAACACGCCGGAGACATTAAATTTTATCTCTAGGATGGTATGAGATGACTTTATAGGAGTCAGTGGGCGTGGCAACGCCAACTTTTAGGTGCAAACCCATATCTTGGGATCTGCTTAACTGATTTGAACCAAATTCGGTACATAACATTCTTTTCATATTTCTATGTTATAGTGCGAAAATGGGCGAAATCGGATTACAACCACGCCTATTTCTCATATAACGCAAATCAAGCAAAAATGACTATATTAGGGTAAAACTTTGGGTGAATAATACGTTTAAAGTATGCCACCTTGTGACCAAAAATTGTCTAAATCGAACCAAAACTGTTCAAGCACCTAGGTACTGAATATGTCGACCCCAGTGCCTATAGTTGACCTTCTACTGAAAATATCGGTCAATCAACAAAGAAATCTCAAACGAGTATACCATTTGACTTTGCGAGAGTATAAAATGTTCGGTTATATCCGAACTTAGCCCTTCCTTACTTGTCTTATGTTAACTTTTTCCACTAGGAATCTTGTCCTAAATAAACAACTTCCGTGCCTTTGTCTATACATATCTATTCATACATTTCTATTCTTATAGGGGATATGTAAGCATATCATCCTCCTCCGTGAGTTAAATCCAGTTAGTTCTGCCAAAATGGCACTTGCTCAGCTTAAAAAACTTTACTGTTCCAGGCTCTAATTGAGGTCTAACTAAGCTGTAATTGTAGACATGTCTACTGTCTGCCGCAAAAGTATAGGCTCAGACACAAACGACCAGATGTCGCCGCTACAGTGAAGAACGCATTGAGAGGAATAATATATACATTTATACTGAACTGGAAGTTATCTGAGGGCCCTAGTTGAAAATTTTAACCTGCTCTATTTTGTCTAAATTTTTCGATGAATTAAAACAGCAGCAGAGTTCCATACATATAAAATATCTGATGAATAGTTGCTATGCTGAAAGCTGACTGATTACGTGATTACTGATGTACGTCTTGAAGTTTTCGGGCAAATGAGCTGGTACTAGACTCTGATCGGCTAATGGATATTGTGGAAGACATTTGTATCAAAAATATAATATATAAAATAGTTTGACAATTCCTGTAGAGGGCTCCACATATATTCAATATAATTGGCTCCAGCGACTACCAAACAAAGTACATTTTGTACCTTTATTTTTGTGGAACACTGTTCATGAATATAATCCATGTACCATTTTCATATCACATGTAAATTTAAGGATATAAGTAAATATATAACTCCAAAAGTATAAGAAAATGTATTATATATATATATATATATATATACTTGTATATGTATTTATATTTACCAACCACAACATCAAAAATATTCTAATTTTATAACTTAGCCGGTGGCCAATTTGCAGAAACTGAAGTCAAATTGTCTGATTACTTTGCTTTAGTGACTGAAAGCCTGATTCGGTGGCTGGTAGGTTGATTGGTTAACCGGCTGACTGGATGGTCGGATGGTTTCGGTTACGTCTGCCATGCTGCTTGCTTTGGCAACTTGCTTCAGGCGTGAAATTTCCACTTAAATGTTGGCAAGAACACACGCTCTGCTATGCATATGGACTCGTCAGTTGTTTTTAGGTATGTACATATACATATTAATATGTATGACACATGTGGCATATCATCTAAAAGCACCACGTCAACTGGCGTGCCTCTGTTTATGCTGCTACAATTCAATTCCAACACTTGTGCCATATTTACTTAGTGCTTTATTTTCGTTTATCTAACACCAAAGTCCATTGGGGCATTGGATGAGTAAACAAATTAGAACTCAGTTCCAGTGAAATTCCGGAAAATCAATTCTTTAGCGAATGTGTGTGCTACTGTTGGACTCTGTGGGTTCTCAAAAACACTATGGTACGCAACTCTATTAAGAAAATACGCACGGATTGACTTTCACCAATCGAGCGATGAGTGGTGGTTCATAGCTTTTAATTTCTGCCATATTTCTTCTGTTGCGATAGGGACACGATGGCTTCTAACTCTTCACTTGACACTATTTTCATTTGCGCGTTCTCCTTGCCGTATAATGTGTCTATCATTGGAGCCATTAGCGTTGCCACAGTGTGTTGCCGCGCAGCTGACAACACCACATATCTAGCCTAACTTTTAATCCTTTTCGCATTTACGCATCACGTTAGTTAAAAGCCTTTCAATGAGCCTCTCGCCACTAATGACCAACGTAGCTAAGGCCAGGTAAAGAAAACGTAAACACGCACCGGCAAGAGTTCTGCTCCACCATTCACGTTTAATCCCATAACTTTCGTATCGAGTTATACTCATGCCCATATACAATTGTGTTCACATATCTACTTTACGACCGCGACAAATTAAAAGCACTACTTGGCCTAGCGGGCTTTGAGTGGTGAGACGAGCTCGGTTACGGCCGTTCGTACGGTCGTAATAAAATGCGGTGAAGGAGCTGCGTTCTTTAACAGTTGCCTCTTAAATAACATTATTATGCATTGGCGACATTTATGTGTAAATGTTTTATCGCAATGCTTAGCCCAGCCTAATAGAGAGTTGCGGGCGCTCTAATATACCTACAAATGTATATGCATATGGATCTGTATTCATATATACATACAAGTACAATTTGGAAGACGTATTCATGGCGGGTACTTTAAGATTAAGGACTCACTCGATACTCATGCTTGTTGTGGGAATGGTGTTTGTGTACAAAGTTTAGTTGTTTTTATTTTAGTTACTTTCTAGCATAAAAGTTGTCATTGTACTAATGGCGCACAGGATTAAAACTATTATGTTCATCGTAATAAATAGCAGTTGTAATAGGAGAACATAAGTGTTGTTAAGGTTAAGAAAATGCCTGCTTGTTTGCTTAGCTATACCG